TTATTCTCTCCTTTGAGTGCTACTCTTTTTTGGCGAAAAAAATGCATTTCGTTTGCGTTTAATTAAAATTTTCGCTTTGTGGAGCCTTACTAATGCTTTAATCGTATAGTCTGGGAGATTGTGTTGTTTTTATCTTATGTAATTAGGTTTGTTTTAGCAGCATCTTCAAAATTTTACAAATAAAATTAGTGTTTCTTATGAACCTTTTTAAGTTCAGAAAATGAACCTCTCAATGCAAACTTTAGTGATAGAAATTCTGGTGGATTCTCCCTTTATTCCAATTATCTACGACTTAAATTTATAGTCTGGGGGATAAAAGCATATAAAATAAAAATCGCGCATGCAATCATGACCTACTCCAAGTAATCGCCGTTTAAACTGACCGCTCTGGTCGAATTTGAGAATCTACGCGGAATCTTCCCATGAATGAATTTTCATATACCGAGCGATCGGCTAATTACAGCGATATTCCCAAGGCAGTCTAGACCGAGGCGTAGCGGTATATTCGTTTGAAAGTAGGCTATGTTGATTCAGGTTTCGATATTATTCGATTCGATCGATACCTGTTCGACATATCGGCCTGTAATATTCGATGACACCGCGTAACTGACTGACGCACTGTTTGAAATTATGTTCTCCTCATTTTGAAATTTCTGCTTGTTTTTAAGATTTTTCTTTTAATTGCAGGTACTCGTACAAACGGAGAAAATGGCGTTGCGATATTTACTCATCATCGGATTTTTATTGCAAACGGTATGTACACATGAATCTTCTTATATTGTTTTTTTATATCTTCGACATATTTACCTAATAAAAAATTATCAATCTAAAATTAAAAAAGCGCCCTTAAGATGGATTTTTTTACTCTAAGCACCCTTACTATTGATCAAAGATGATATAAGTATGTGGAATATTATTAGTAGCTATTGGAAATCGATATTATCCACCTTGCAAAATGATGAATAGTTCAGGAAAAGTGCATATTACCGAGAAATTCGCCTAACTCAGAGGCATTTTTTTTTACTCTAAGCACCCTCACTATCGATCACATATGACGTAACGTAATAGTCAAGGGACTAACGGTAACATCGTTAAAAATTCGCTCGAAAGATGCACGGTCGAAAGTGAAAATCATCGAATACGACACGGTCGGGGAATTTCGCGCAAAAGTATATACGCTAATAAATCACCGTATTGCTCGCATCATTAGTTCGGATAACGATATGCATCGTATAATGGCCTATCTAGGGGATATTACGTATGTGTATACACACACGAGACGCTATCGGGCTTTCGCAGTGCAATGTAAAAGGCCATCGAGAATGTAAACAGGATTTAGACGTGTTCGCTAGGTCATGTAACACTACTTGTCGCTTGTCGGATCGAATTTTCGCTCAAAACTATCCGAGCTAAGTCTATTAGATGTTCTCTTTAGACTATTATGTTACTATTAAGTATTCACTTCTATGTTGCATTTTATAGGGTGGTTAATGCTAATGCTAAAATGCTAAAATACATATAATTGCATGTAATAGCTCACCCTATATTTCATAATTCCCTCATATAAGTAATTAGTAGTTATATAAGAGGGTTCCTGAAGTAGTAATTAACGAATTCGAAACTTGCCTGCGGGGAACTTCCCGAAACAGCTTAATTTCACGTTAGTGAATAATTAATTGGCGCGAATTTAATAATTTATCCCCCTCGATACGCCTCTGGTATCGGGGAATCGTCGAAAGGTGCGGTGAAGACTTATAAAGACGTATATATAACTCGCTGGCCGACTGACCTGTCCTTGCTATTAGGCCGTTATGTTCCAAGGGTCACGGAACACCGTGCGAAAAAGTGAAATTTTACGTTCCGTGTGTTTACTTTCTGTCAAACGTCAATCCGAGAGGTCCGCGACGTTTGACAGGACGACGTAAAACAGCCCACTGCGACTGGGAATAACGCAATCTAGATTAAAAATGGTAACCAATAAGTCAAACAAGCGCTTCCTGTGAATAACGATACCTCGTTTAGTAGTAATAATAATAATTTTGCGGTGTGTTTAATAAACTGCTTCAGTGAAATTAAAGCGAGTACTTCACTGTTGACGAGCGTCATTAGAACAACAATTTAAAGATTTAACCTCCATATCATCATCTGCTGCGACTCGTCAGTTTAGAGCAACTTTTTGAGGAAGTAGGTTACTATTACTGAAGATATTTGGACTGAAATGTCCGCGTAACATCCGCTACCGGCGAGCATTTAATCGATTTTTACATCGCATCGGTCAATTCGAGATCATTCAGATGTAATCCAACAATTATTTAAACCAATTATTAAAATACTTTAGTTTTTATTGCACACCCTGTGTTCAATTAACCGGGCGCAAATAACTGTTACTTATAGAAATTTCCACCTCTAATACCGATTATTTAGGTTCGTGAGATAGGGGAAAATATATTGGATTAGAGATGGGCGTCGATGTGATAACCGTTACTGATTTTGATGAAATTAGAAATTGGGAGCGATTTATCTCGCTTAATTAATCGCGTATTTCGACAACAGGAAGCCGTAAATCTATCAGGAGCAATTGATACAATTCTAAATTTTACGCGTATATACAGTAGAATAATTAATTTCCGAAAAGTACAGTTACTTTCGAATGGGTCGTTCGTTATTTTTTTTTCTTCTCTAATTTAACATAAATAATTCGTTATGCAGATTTTCAAATGTCCGCCGCATATTTTTCCATACGAAATAAATTTTTGTGTGTTAATAGTCGAGTTTCTGTCGGTTTGATAATAACAAAAAATCAAACTAATGTACCGTTTTCTACTAAAAAATGCAACGAAATGCTGATAATATTTCTACTTCTACTCCTTAATATATCGTTTTTTTAGCTTTAAGCGTCCTTACTATTTTTTTCCTACGATTTTTCTTATAGTCGGGGGGACATTTGCACTTTTTTGTCTCAAACTAGTTACATTGTAACGAGGAGGATTGCAGCACGTTACTTAGTCGTTTAAGAGTCAAGAAGCATCATTTTTTCAGTAACGGGGAATCTAGGCAAATATATTTTCGAATTTAGAATGTATGTCGTATTGTCCCACATTCGTACGAATTCCGATAAATTGTTAAAAGCGATTGTGCCGGTCACGTTTCGGTTTCGAACGAAAGCAATCAAATAAACGACGCCATTATACATAAAAAGTTCTCCGAGGCAAATAACGCGACAGTAATTTGTAGCAGCGTTAACTATAAAGAGGGAATTAGTTAACGCCCGTGTTAACGTATGCAGGAAAGCGCGTCAACTCTGCGACGGATTAATTTTATATGAATATTAGTTTTCCTGTTATTAATAAACTGTATACTCTTTTGAAGCGTCAACATGTTTAGTTTAACTCCGTAATAAAATACCTACAGATAAAAGCTTCATTAGTATAGCTTTAATTATAATTTAAATTCTCATTAATCTTACTATTTTCTTGAATTTATTAATAAACTATAAAGAGCTAGACCTCCCTTTGTGTTGTCAACAATTATTCTTATCACTCCCGCATAAATATGTAATAGAATAATAACATAACCCAGTAGTTAGATCGATAACCCGCCCAGGTTACGACAGCGCCAAAACGCATCGTAATAGCCTTAAACGCCTTAATTGAATTTCGATAAAGTAGGTCCGAAATGTTCGCCTATCGGCTTAGTAGGTTATGTAAATGAAAAGGAAACTACCAGCTCATTGTATATCGTATAATATGTAAATAAATGCAAGCGATCCGTCGACCGGGCAATTGATGGACAAATACTCGTTTTGCGCTCCCGTGTCAACAATAAACGACGATGTGCATCGAAGCGATTTCCTGGATTATGGGTTGTCGGGTCAAAAATGCCGTTTTATTTTTTCTAATTTAACGCGTTGGTTTACCGTAAGAGTAAATAATATGTAAATCGAGAGTTTGAAGTGATTTTCTTAGGTTTTTTTTTTTATTTTTAGTTTTAGCGACCTTACTAATGTTGCTGATCATTTTTCGTATAGTCCGGGGGACAATGGCATTTTATTTTGGGCCTTACTGTAATTATTAAACTTCATTAAAGGAGAGTTAATCAATTTAATTGAATAACTAACAAAATTAACCTTCCAATCTTCTATACTTACGTCAAACTCTCAATGTCCAGTCTTCTCTTCTAAGCCCAATTAGGGCCTCTTCTCGTCGGTTCGGCCGGCCCGTTTTTTAACCCGCCTCTTACTCACAGTCGCCGTCGAATTTTCTGTATCCAAAACCCGAAAAAAAATCGTTCTGAGACAATCGTCGGTACTCCCAGCGCCGAATCGATCGGTTTTTAATTATCGGCCCGATGTGGAGCGAGGGGCCCCGGGCGGGCCCGGACTCTTAACGGTTATTTGACCGGCCGCCCCGCAGGCGAAAGCTGACCCACACACACACATACGCAGTAGTACTTGCGCTTTAATAAAGTACCTTCACCCGAAAAAAAAAGCGCTAGCGAGGATAGCTCGATCCCGTACAAGTCCGCGTAAACCCTCCCGTGACGTCAGAGAAAATCTAATTACTTATAGCGGGTATTAGATCGCAGCTAACTTGTCGGTTAATTTAATAGGTAAGATTACGAAGCTTTTACGGGGCTTTAAAAGGCTTATAGGAATTGATACAATCCTAAACTAATTCCTGTGCTACACGGAGCTTGGGAAGCTACATTTCCAATTTGTTGTTAGTTAAGTAGAGAGTTTGTCAACTGTCAACAGTGTCGTGATAGCTGTCAATAAAAACCAAATCGTATTATTGGCCAATTAGTAATGGATGATCGATCCTCGTCTTTGCGGTTATCGCGTGCATATCGCATCGTGTTGGCGTGGAGATTTCCTGTGGGGTAATTGAAATCGTGTGCGGTCTGTTTAATTAAGCCTCCTAAACCCTTAAAGCCGGATCATCCCCTATACTCGATGTATATATACTCGAAGGAAACGTTATGCTTGCACTAATTCAACTGGAAATTCAACCATCAAAGTCGCGCAATATTGATTTGGAAATTGTTCCATAATTTGCGCGATGAGCTCTGCTGTCTAGTATCACTTTGATGAGTTGTTGTGTACTAGAAATAATACAGGAGATTTATGATTTCAGGCGCTGGTGTTCGCCGAAGAAGTGGAAAAAGTGGAGGCCATCCAAGGCACCGAAGAGGCGAAGGACGCCAACCAAATCGACAAGGACCCGTCCGGCGGCGACCAGCTGGCCTTGGAGTCGCTCGAAGAGCAAGGCGACTCGCCGCAGAACCTGCCGTACAGCGCCGGCAACGCGCCGCGCAACCCCAGCCAGCCGACGAGGAGCAACGGCGGCCACTACAGCAACCACAAGCCCTACGGCGCCGGCGGCGCCGGCAAGCCGGGCCCCTTCGACGGCGGCAAGGCGCCGTACAACGGGCCGCCGCCGCCGCCGCCGCCCGTCAAACAGGCCATGGACAAGTACGGCACGGATTTCGGGGCGGAGGTGTGGCCGGCGCCCGCGCCCGACATGCCCAAGATCCTCTCGTTGGACGTCAAGTGCGAGAAGAACCTCATGAAAGTCTACGTGGGCTTCGACAAACCCTTCTACGGGATCGTCTTCAGCAAGGGGCACTATAGTAACGTGCATTGCGTGCATTTACCGGCCGGTTTGGGTAGGACTTCGGCTCACTTCGAGATTGGTATACACGCCTGCGGTACGTCCGGTAACACGGAGAACGGGCTGTACGGCTACGGCGCCGAGTCCGGTTCCGGTACTTACTTCGAGAACATCATCGTCATCCAGTACGATCCGCAGGTTGGTGTTTTGCCTTCTTTACGAAATAATATGGTGTTGATAATGTTGTCGTTTAGCCAATTAATCGAAGGCCAGCACTAGGCATATATGTCACGTGTCGTCGCGGTCACCTGTCAATACTGTCAATAGTCAGGTGACCGTTAGTTGCACGGCCGTATATTTGTAAGGTCTGGAAACAGTCTAAGTTTTTGCATTAGAGAATGTGTCTCGTTATTTGAAGACTTTTTGAGTTTCACTTGGGCACCGCATTGTGGCAAACGATCGGAGGATCTACTTATCACAGCCAATCAGCGTCGCGCTACATATAAATCGCGGTTGTGTGAAACGACAGTTCGAGCTGTCAAAACTTCAAAAATTATTTTTTGACATTTCGAGGAGAAAATGGAGAAATACATTCACCGAAGATACGTGTGGCATGATGTTAACGACGAAATCATCGCTGATTTAAGTATATTTTTATATTTTGTATATATTTTTAGTTTGGATCAAACCTTTCTTAATGCTAATTCTACATAATTCGTACGCAAAAAACCGTGGTGCTTTACAACATCGCCGCCTCCTAGCGGCCGTTTTAGGAACCCTGTTTTACCCTCAAATAACGGGACACTTTTTCGACCTATGTTTCCAGCCTTTAGCAATCTTAGAACATAAAATACATATTTAAAACAAAGCGTAGGATCAGATTTTTAACTAATTCACCCTCTACAACAACCCTTTGGCGTTCTAGGTGCAAGAGGTGTGGGACCAAGCGAGGAAGTTGCGGTGCACGTGGCACGACCAGTACGAGAAATCCGTCACGTTCCGCCCGTTCCCCGTCGACATGCTCGACGTGGTGCGCACCGACTTCGCCGGCGACAACGTCGGCTGCTGGATGCAGATCCAAGTGGGCAAGGGCCCCTGGGCCTCGGAGGTCTCCGGCCTCGTCAAAATCGGCCAAACCATGACGATGGTGCTGGCCATCAAAGACGACGACAACAAATTCGACATGCTCGTCAGGAACTGCATGGCGCACGACGGAAAACGCGCCCCCATACAGCTGGTCGATCAAAGAGGCTGCGTCACCAGGCCCAAGTTGATGTCGAGGTTCACCAAAATCAGGAACTTCGGAGCCAGCGCTTCGGTGTTGTCCTACGCTCACTTCCAGGCCTTCAAATTCCCCGATTCCATGGAGGTGCACTTCCAATGCACCATTCAAATCTGCAGGTAAGAAACCCCAGCAGTTTATTCCATCCAGTTCTTTTTCTACCTTGTTCTTACACCAATCAAAAGAGTCTCCATTACAACGTTCCATTGTGGTGTTTCAGGTACCAGTGCCCGGACCAATGCTCCGACTCGTCGGGCCACCACGTGCACGGCCTGCTGGACCTGGTGCACGGGCCGCCGGACGGCGGTTACGGCGCGCCGCCGCCGCTCTCGATCGAGACGTACCTGCAGGCGGGGCGGCCGCGCGACGAGCGCCGCTCCCGGCGTTCGGTGCCCGTCGATCCGGAGAAGGAGGTGGGCGTCAACAGGGTGATCCGGGTGGTGTCCACCGGCGATCTGACGTTCCCGCTGGACGACGGCGCCGCGTCGAACGCCACCACGATGGTGTTCCCGGGCAAGGAGGAGCTGCACGGCGCCGGCGTGATTTGCATGACCACCCCCGGCTTCGCCGCCGCCTTGGTGGTGTTGCTGGCCATTTTGGTGGGGTCCTGTTTGCTGTCGGCGGTGCTGTGCGTGCGGCTGAGACCGGAGAACAAGCTGAAGAGGAAGTCGAAGGGTTGCTTGTACTCGTAGAAGGGGGGGCCGGAGGCGGTGCGGGGGGTGTTTCGAGGCGATGACGTTGACGTTTGACGTTGAGATTGAACGCTACATGCTTGATCATACGTCCCGCGTAAGGCGGGTACGTCCGGGTGTAATGACGATGAAAGTAGGGAGGAATCTGTTTGTAAGGGGGTGGTGAATGACATTTTGGGATCGAGGGGTTGATTAAATGTTTGCGGTTATTTTTTTTTTGTTGACGGATTTAATTTGGTGATGAAAATGTATCAGTAAGGAAATCGAGTTCGTCTTTGTTGGGGTTTATGCGAGACGACATTTTAATGGGTTCGCCACTTTTCATTTATAAGTTGCCCAAATGACATAGTAAAGTTTTGTCATTTCCGGCATATTTAATTTTCGATAATACTCATCCTGTCTGTAATGGGAAATTTTTGACGGGTTTCACATTAACTTCTATACATAATTCCTAAATTGTGCAGTCTGGAAACTTCAGTTTTACATAAAAATATCCAATCTTTATGCTCCTTCGAACAGATTTTTTTCTAATTATCATATTTTTTGAGATATTTGGAAATTTAATAGTAATTAGTGCCTACTTCTAGTGATATAAACTGTTTTCTTATCCGGAAGTTTAAATTTAAATACTACATATTTCACGCACAGTAAAGCTCACAAACATATTATTAAGGCATGAAATTCTATAAGCTTAATTAAGACTGATGACTAAATGAAGATTTCCTCGTTAGATAAAACATATACTTATATTCCATTGAATCCGACCTTTTAATATTATTTAAAAATCTTTGTTTAGTCCGGAATATTCACTATATGATCAAGCATAGTATCTAATTATATTTATAAATTTTTATTTTCGTAATTGTTCGTTTTAATTAGCAATTAAGGTTACCTCTTTTGTTAACTAATTTATTTTGAAATAAAAACAGGACGAACGGAGACTAATTAATGTAAATATACCAAAAATTGAATTCTTTTTTGGATCAAACTCTTGTTGGTTTCGGTTAGTTCTTGTATAGTCTATTTATTGATATTTATTTATTCGTTTAATGTATTTATATCGGTGCGTGTCCGTTTGACTTTAATAATTCAATTAGCAATTTAATTAAGTTGGTACTTAAGTAAAAATTAATATTGTTTCACGGATACGTTACTATTTTTATTTTCGTTTACATTATATAAACTAGTCACTTTGCTAGGAATTGTGTGTGGTAAACAAGAAAATCTTTTTTGTTTCTGGATAATTATTCATCTTTTTAAATTGTTTAATTTATCATAAGAAATCTTAAAAAGTTTAAAATTTGCCGTCGTTTTTTTTTTAAATTCAAATTTCGTTTATCGAATCAGAGGCTATATATTATTAAATGGGCAAATTTTAAACTGCATTACGTAATTTATTGTTATTGTTAGTTTAAATAGGTATTTTTCTGCCATATTATTTTCGTTTTCAAATTGTTAATGTCGGCATAAGCTCGCAAATGATAATATGTAGTTTGCAGATATGTGTAGTACGTTATTCTGCCAATTTGTAGGACATATTGTTCAAATAATAAAGAGTAATAAGTAATTACGAATGGTTGGTTGTGATTTGACGAGGCCACTTCGCGCCAACTTCATTCTCTCAATTGACAGGTGACATTTAGATGACAGAAGAAGAATTTTGGTTTTTTTTCGTGTTTTTTTGTACAAAAAAAGAATCTGCGTTGCAAGGTAAGTGTAGAAACTTGAACCTTTCCGTCGATATTTTTATTTGTAGGAAATTGTTTGAGTACAAAACAATCTTAAATCAACCGCATGGATTTCTCGCAATTGGGATTATTTATTGTTATTTATTGCTAAAAATTTCTATATCAGACAACCTGCAAGACCTGTAGTTACATAATGAAATAAACTATATAAAAAAATATTAATACTGTACAAAAAATTATCAAACGTTAATTATTATTAATAATTTAATACATTAAATTAAATTATAAATACATTGACTGAACCTTTGCAAAAATCATTCGGGTGTAACAACGACAAAACCTACATCGTTTAAAAAAATAATCAGTTACACATTTAACTTTCACAAAGTTCTTAAATAACACTCGACTAATTGCTATTTAAATTTAAGCTTAATTTTAATTGATTTTAACTAATCGTATGATCAACAGAATGATCTCCCCTTTTTCAAAATCGAATAAATTCCCCATTACAAAACATTAATAAATCTATAATTAATGTACTTTAACAAATAACAAAAGGAGAGTTATCTATTCCGTCGAGCGACTCAATTATACATCTAAATTTTCAAACTTATTATATACAAAAACTATTTAATTATCTACATTCACGTTACCCTATATTGCAAATGAGCCCTCCTTAACATAATACAGAACAGTTTGCATCGCTCAAATACGAGCAACAGTTTAATATTAAATATAGCCTTTCTAAAGTCGCTTTTAAACTTCCTATAACTCCAAAATGAAGGAATAAATAATATTAAATAAGGGTTCATTTTGAACGAAAAGCTTTCCTCTTTGAAATAATCGCGAGAATTATTAGCTAAAACTAATAACTCTCGCTAATAAATAAATGTTCTTAGAGCGTGCAGTTTGGAATTTGTTTTTGAGAAATTTATCATTTTTAATTCATCTTAGAAACCGACTTTGAAAAGACTATACGATTTGGTATTTAAAAATATAACTTATAAACCTTTGAAATTAATTTACTCTTATCGATAAATTTAATTGTTGTAAATGAGTAAATTAATCTGCTGTTTTAGAGATATATATTCTCCAATATAATCTATACAAGTTTAAACTAACAAATGCCTATTTATGATACATAAAAATGTAATAAATTGTTTATAATCAAATATTTGTTCGGAATGAAGCAAAAATACAACTTCTCTTAGAAATTTATTTTTGTGTCCATCCAAACACAACTATTCGCATTTAATTCTACCGGTAGATCTACAATTATTACCCGAAGAGTCTTATTGAGCACATTATTAAATTATCAGAAATTACCGAAATTTTTACAAGAACTTTCGGCGTGAAAAAATAAACCTTCTCAAATCGCGATCGTCAAATTACGAAATTCCTTTCGAATATTTCACTACACGGCAAATCCGAGTACATTCAAAAAACTCCGGATTTTTCACCTTCTAATAAAACCCATCCAGCAAAATCCACAAGCTTTTAAAATTTCATCAGCGAACTACTATCACTCGAAGGAGATTTACGGGCGTAGCAAAAAATCGAACAAAAGTAGAGAGAATACAATACACTCGCACGAAAATCGTCCGAATCACTCGATCAATCATAAAATATCCCGTACTCATGTCGCCTTCCCGTTGCCCATCGCCGTCGTCGCCACCCCGTCGATCTCCCCGTTCCTCTTGGCCGCCCTCCTCGAGGCCACGGCCCCGCCGCCCCCGCACCTGCCCCTCAACAGCCCCAGCCCCATCCAGTTGGAGAACGCCGCCGCCGGCACCGCTCCGTTCCGCGAGCACCGCGCCTCCTCCGCCAACCGCTCCTTCTGCAGCTGATACCTGGGGCACAAGAAACCATCGCTAGCTTAATCTCATCGCGTCCCGGAGCCGGAGAAATCCTTACCTGTAGAGGAGAGAGCCGGCGACGAGCGCCGAGGCGACGGCCGACGCCGCCGCCAGCACGAACAGCACGCTGAAGCCGGGGACGGGCATGCAAATCCCGTAGACCACCTCCTCTCTGATGCGCCCCTGGAAGACAGTCACCGCCTCCTCGGTCCGGCCGTCCGGGCTGAAGGCCAGGTCCGCTTCGGAGATGACTTCGTAGAGGCTGCTCACCCCCACGTCGGCGCTCCTCGCCTTCCTGTGTAGTAGAAAATGTTAGGTTAGCGTCGATATGGACGTGGAGCTGGGTTTCGATTACCTGTCGGATACGATGACGGACCGTTTGCGGCGCTTCTCGAAGGACTTGAGCGACTCCTCGGCGGCGCTCGAGCGGTTCTCGTCGTCGAGGCTGCGCGGGCCCGCCACCGGGGGCTCGTCGATGCGTCGGGGCCCGTGCGGGAATTTCTCTTGCAGCGGTAGCGAGTAGATTTCCTGGAAGAAGCGATCGGTTTTTTTTCGGTGTGTTTGGAAAGCGAGCCGAGTCCGGTACTGGCGCGGCGAACTCGTTTCGAAAATGACTAATTTTTCGGAACGGGTCGGGGCCGAAGAGGAACGCCGTTTTTAATTTACCTAACAGGTTATTCACACGCATTGTTAACAGTTACCGGAGGTATTTCGTGAAATGTGTGTAGTGTACAGGTGATGAGCGCGCCGGGGTCACAGGCCACACGCGGTACTACCTACGATTTACTCGTTGTTTACACCGATACAGGGTTATTCGTTAAGTGGAAGGACTAATGAGACAGATTATTTTTACTGACGCTGTAAATTGCGGTCTACCGGCCGTTTAAGTTCCACGCAGATCCGACAGATTTTATGCATTTTTCATTAGGAAAATGTTACTCAGGAAGGCTACCTATTAGAATATTTTTTTTGTATAAATTCCGGATGACGCAGGATCCAGGACGGTTCCATCTCGACCGGTTGACCATCAGTTGCGATCGAAATAAAAAGAAACATTCTCATTGGATTCCAATTCGAGCCGTTCGCGAAGCAACGGCCGGTAAAAAGAAATGAAAGAGAAAAAAATCAAAAGAAAAAAAAAATCGTTCGAATCCGGAACTGCATATCGAGATGCATCGAGAGGTACTCACGTCTCACCGACGGCCGTTCGTTCCTTGCAAATTGCCCGGTAATTGTAAATACCGAGAATCGAACTGTTTTATTCATAGTCGAGGAACAATAAACGCTCCATTATAACGCTTTTCCACCTAATAAACGAACGCCAAGTACGGCTTTCGATCTATCCCGTAACGCGCATAGGCTACAAGTTTTTTTTCTTATTTCCGAGGAAAACTCGAAATATTTTGCAAATAAATGCACAAGATGTACAAATTTCGGTGCAGAAACGGTCCACCGACATGACCCTAAAGTTATTGAACTATCAAAGTTTTAACTAACCCTAAAGGCTAAGAGTAAATTAAGTCTACTTAATTCAAGAGTTCTGTATAAAATTCATTTTCAGAATCACCCAAGATAAAGTCTGATTATAGAACAAAATGAGTCCTTAAAGTGAACCCATTCTGTATGCCCACCAAAAGATACAATTTTTCAATAAAAAATTCAAAATTCCAGTCCCCTGGGGGCAAATTTTCGAATACCCAGCATCCATACCTTATGAGTCAATCCCGCCAGTTCGAGGTCCGTCTCGTCGGAGTCCCCGTCGAGGTCCTGGGGCCCGCCGTGGGCCACCTTACCGTCGAGCGACACCTTCACACCGGCGCCCGGTAACTTAGCGTCGCCGCCGCCGTCGCGGTGGCGCACCACCTCCTCGTAGAGGACGTCGTCGACGTCGCCGGGGGGATCCCGGATCCTAAACGAAAGACACGAAAGCGTTATTTAATGGGAGCTAAGCGCAAGTCATGGATAATTGGATAATACGTTTGTGCGATATATTGTGCATTAAAATGATTAGTACCAACATTGAATGAAAATAAAAACTCGTATTATTCAGATATAACTGTGCCCCGCATGCGAATAAAGGCGATTAATTAATCGACAGCAGGAGTACCGATAGTACCGAATTGTTTATGGCAAAAAAATAGGCAAAGAAAACCCACACACACTCACACACACACACACACACACACACAAATCTAACTGTAACGCTTCATATTTATTAACCTAATTCGCACGGCTATAAAAAATTACATTAGCAATCGGTACTACTCCTTTTGTCACCTTTTTTTTCCGCGTAATTACATTAAGTACTTCTCATCGAATGAAAATCCGTGGTACTACTATAATTGACTTCGGAAACAAAGTGGGCTGTATACAATCAAAATGGAATAGCCGTTAAGAAAAATCGTAATAGTTAAGAAAAAATCCTTACTTTTCCTCTCCCGAGAGGACGTCGTCGTCCTTCCTCTCCAAATGGTTGACGTAGTACCCGGCGTCGCCGTCGGCGTCGGGCAGGTCGGTGTTCTGGCAGTGATCGAGGCAGCCGTGCCGGCATATCTCCACCTTGCACTTGATGTGGACGCTGAGGGCGTCGGGGAACTTGAAGGCGTGAAAGAAGGCGTAGGTGATGACGCTGGCGCGCTCGTCGGCGCCGCGCGCCTTCAGGAAGCGGCTGATCATCTTCGGCCTGAGGACGCAGCCGCTCTCGTCCGACAGCCGGATGACGTGGCCGCCGCCGTCGGAGGCGACGCACGATTTCACCCGCATGTCGAATTCGCCTGGAATCAGTACGTGACGTCATTGCTAAACTGCTATGAGCCGACCTCCGAATGTTAGGTCACCTTGGTGTAACGTAACGTCAATACGTCAAATTTGTTAAATGTCATAAATGTTCGAGCATTGTACTGTCGAAAAATGAATTAGCGACGTTGTCAAAAGTTACCGGCGTTTTTTGATTCTCACCGCGAACGAACCGGTTCATAATAATGATGATAATAATAATAGTAATCGTGATGCTCGTGAAACGCGGACGGCGGAAGAGGAAGAACAGCGGAAAAATCGAAACCGCATTCGAGTTCGGTAGGTCTATCTATAGTCGAAAAGTTATCGATATTGCATTTGCTGATCGTCGCGTTTGTCGAGTTGTACTCGCCGTCGACGATTCATTTCCAAATACAATGTTGCGTCGAGTACCAATACCAATGGCGTGCTCTTTGCTCTTTTTTACAATTAGTAAAATAATTGGCTTGTTTACCGAGTAGTAAAAGGCCGCGCATTAAAAAATTGTCGTTTTGACTAGTGCAGTAGCGTTGCGTATTGTCATTTGCTTAATCGAAAATTGGAATTAAAATGGAATTGATTTGTGTGTACCAATGGCGAATGTATTGCAAGAACACCTCTATTAATTTTTGCGTTGGTCGTAAAATATTTTTAACTGTGAAAAATGTAATAACACATTAGAAAAATAGTTGCTGCTTTGACTAGTCCAGTAGCATGGACCTCTGATTTGAAATGATTATAAGAAGTAATTTTTAGTATGGAATATTGCGATGATTACCTAAAAGTTGTGTTCATGGCATAGTTAAAGTTTTTAGCTGCGTTTTTCGATATCTTGCAGTACCGGTAAGAGTACTTGAATATTTATTTTTACAAGAATTAATAATGTATGACGTATCCGTTTGGTTATGGCTAAGATGCCGTACCCGTTAAAGGGAAAAACCGGCAAAAATCTGTACAATCGATTGATATGGTTAAAAATAACGTTATATAAATTTAACTTACCCCGATAATCGTTTATCGCTACAACTAGCGTTAAAGTTGAACCTAACGGGACGATTCCGCTAACAGGAGGAGCCCATGGCCCTTTACCATGTTGTATTTCCATCCAACAATCCACATTATCGCCTAAAATAAGTGTAAATTAACGAAAATATAATAAAAATTAAAAATCTTAGCAATTCCCCAAACATTTGCCGAGTTTGATTTAGTTTGCATTAAATCTATTCTTCTTTTTGAATTATTGGCCTTAGTCGCCTGGACTAATCGGCCATTTTATTGCTTTATTTTATTAAACATGACAAGTGATGCTGTTTGGAAATGTCTACTCGATTTAATTATAATTAGCCGTGTCTACTCGACCAAATACCATGCCCAGCGGGAACGAAAATCTTCCACGACAAAATTGCGCTCGTACAATATACAAAACAAAGCGGTACATAGAAAAAAAAACAGACTTCGTTAGTGGCGATCCCACGGATCGTTTTCTCTGACTCATAATTGAATTAATATCGAATCACTATCAATTACGGCCCATAAATCGGTCGGCGTCCGTAAAACTCGATCATTTTTTTTGTCTATTTTCCATCGTAGATTATATAATAATGTTCCCGAACGAGCGTATAGTGTATTGTACAAAAACGAAGAATGTAAATTACGACCGCTTGTCGAAACCTATACTTACGTACCGGTTCGATTTTGATGAATTTTCGAAAAAAAAAAACAGATATAGTCCATTCACGATAATCTAGCGATGACTATACTTCATCCATCCAACCAATGGAGTAACCAAAACAAGGTTAGACGCTGGATCATCATGCACAGTAACCTTGTTTTGGTTACTCCATTGGTTGGATGGATGAAGCATATATATCGCCCAAGCGATGTTACCATGTTGGTAGGTTTTTTTCTATAAATTTAGGTACAAACCTCTGAAATCCAATTGTATGACATCGAGATCGGCGATGACCATGGGCGGCTTGGAGGCGGTCTTCTCGTAGTCGTTGAACCACTCGCAGCGCAACCGCTTGGCCTCGTCCCACACCTCGAGCAGGTCCTTGTCGTACTGCACGACCACCGTGTTCTCGTAGTACTGGCCGTGCAGGTCGGGCTTGGTGCCGCACCGAGCGTACGCTATCCTGAAGGAGAAGAACGTCTGGCCGCTGGAGGGCGGCACGTACACGCATCGCGGATCGCCGTGCTGGCCCTTCGACGACACGATGCCCTCGAACGGTTGCGTGAACGTCAGGTGGACGTCCATGTGGTCCTTGCCGCACATCACCTCGAGGTTCTGGATGACCGGCATGCCGTCGGGTCGTTCCATCGGCCACAGGTCGGTCGAGATGGACGGTATTCGCGTCAACTGGAATGGGAATTTACCGGTTAAATGGTGTTCAATGTTTTTCAGATCTTAGCAAAAGAAGGGGACTAGTAGCCAAGTGGGTGAGGAGTCTCCAGGTCCTTCAAGTTACATTAGCTATGCGCCATTTTGGATTACCCAGGACCAAGAAGCAAGAAACAGGGGTTGTAACTTCTGCTGTACCCCGAATGCAAAATGTGCTATAAAAACTGAGACTGTTAATTATTATTAACAGAGGAAGGAGAGTATCCTGTAGATACCTGGAATTTAACTGAATTTTGGAATTTCTGGTAAGTACAATGTTGCCAAGTTCGAATTTCCTAAATATCTAAAGAATTTGCATGTAGATACCGATTATATTGCTATAAATCTAAAGAATTTGTAACTTTTTAAGTTCTAAAACAACACAAGTATGTCGATTCTCTAGGGAAATAAATCGATTAGACAAATATAATTGAATATACTGTACAACAGACAGTTTGATAATTAACATATGAAATAATTAATTACTCATTCATCTGCATTATGTATTATTAATTAGCAAACATTTACGAATAACTGTATAGCTGGGGGAATTCCGGGCAATTTGCGGGAATGTTTCACATCACGTAGAACGTATAATACACAACAGGGCGTTAAATTTTTAACATCCAGTGTTAGTGTTAGTTTGGAATGTATTCATATTTCGTTTGTGCAAACTTACTCGACCTCGTAACCCTAAAAAAACGCATCCGAAATTAGTGAAATATCGAACGCTCGACACATTCTCGATTCGACGAGTCGCATAAATGAATAAATAATCCGGCGTCTTTTCCGCCGAACGGGAATCGGAGAAATTGCCTAAAAAAAACGCACAATGTATAGATGCATCTGGCACGTGTGCGTAGCACGAAATGCAAATCGAAACGGATGTAATAATTTTCGATAATGAAATGCGAGGAGAATCTCGAGGAATTTCGGAATAGAGAAGGGGGCGGATCGTTCCGGTTTTCCAATTTTTCCGGAGGAATTTCGAAACGCTCCGAAAGCGGGTCGATTTTCGAACGAGCGGCTTGTTAGATAAATATTACACCGTTATTTTGAGGGATTCTAAAGTGTTGAATTAGTAACGCTTGGGAAAATGTTGGAGATTTTTCCGATTGGAGTGGCGTTGAATAAGCAAAAACTTCATATTTTATAGAAGCGAAAATAGAGCTTGTAAAAAGTGTATAAAGCAGCTTAAATTTCGCATAACTAAAAACAACACGTTACCGAGTAACGTTCGAAATTACCATTTCAAGCCGGTTGTTAAATCAATCACGTAAATTTTAAGGATCGTTCGTTTCTTTTGTCGAACATGACCGGCAATAACATTGTCGCATTTTACTAAATTACTAATTATCGTACGTGCACGGACGGCAGAAATAATATCTAACGGCACAGACGCGATTTCGTATGCCCCATGCGCGATGTAACAGCCAGAAAAGCCGATTGAATGTAAATCTCAAACTCGAAAATATTTCGGAAATTTTCAACGTATTATACACTAGAGCGTTGGAGTTTACAGGGGAATGTTGATGTTTATTTTACGATAAATTTTACATTCCTATACAGCGTGCTCATTTCCATGAGAATCACTACTTTTCATCACCCGGAAAATCTTGAGTGAATCGGATCTGGCTGGTGAATATTTCAATTTTTTTTGTGTAAATTCATTCAGCTTTCATCGGATCTCCCTATACACGTGCGATGTAATACCGCCCGTAGGTCAGCGGATATTTTTGTGCAAACATAACCAGTTCCACTTGTTTATAATTCCCATTATTAGAATATCGAGAGAGGAAAAAATCATATGGACGGTTCGACGTCAAAACGGCCGCAAATTTATTAAAATTCACTTTTACCGTTAAAGGTGTTTACCTGACCGTTGACCTAAGACCGTCCCGATGGCCAACACTCGCTGCGTTTTTCACATGACAATCAATAATGATCATGTTTTTTTCTATCTACATTAATTATTTTATACCTAAATTCCTCGGAATTCCTCAAAATTTTCACCGATTCCTAGACAGTTCTCAAATTTGGTAAATTTTTCTAGTAAATAGTGTGTTGATTAAATTGGGTATTTAAACTAGGACCACCCTGTAGATTCATATACATTTCGGGTTTCCGAATTAGGCGAAACGACCGTTCAAATTCCCATTTAACTGTGAATCCGTCTCGGTGTGCTCAAGAAATTTTCGCGGCGGTATATCGATTTCACAAAAAAAAAATAATAATACAAATAATAGTAATTGATTGTCATTACAAATCTTCTCGAAAAGGATCCGTTAGGCAAATATTGCGCATATATGGTTATTTCACAATTAAAATATCGATTTCGAAGGAGCCGCTCAGGTTGGGTTCGAGCGGTTTCCGCGTATAAGGTGCTCGAAAACCTCAAATTCGAGACTCGTTTAATGGTAAATGTGTACAGGGCGATTCGAATTCTATATTTTTTTATTCAAAATCGCCTATTAAAGTTTTTGAGTTAACATTTCCGGACACGCTGTATAATTCATTACAAGTCTTATACTAGATTTCATAATTATTTCGCGAATTTATCTCATTTTAATTGCTTAATGAATTATTAATGTTTGCAACAATTGGACTCATTTTAGCTTATTCACAATCTTATATTTTTCAAAAGAACATTCGACAATTTTTACTCGTTTTGATTAATTTCACTCGTTAAGATTTTGTTGAACTAAAGACCGGTCTTTTATCCTCTCAATAAATTCCCTAGCTAATGTGAGATTAGAAGATACATCAATCACAGCGAATTATAAATTACAATTCATATGTTACTTGTACCTACAATTAATAAAAAATGAGACTTAATGAACAAAAATTATTGAAAAATTATTTATGCATTATAGTATTTACTATTCATCGTATAAAATTTATGCCTTTTTGCATTTTCAAGTTCCACTCGTATGTATGTTTCCATGTATTATTCCTAAATAAACCATATTTAATATAATGCAATAACGTTACATTTACGTTAATTAATAATACATACATGCATTATTAACCTACCAATTAATAAATATAACATAGGTAGGTACTCGCTCATTCGGCAATGAATTATCCATTATTAATTCACATATCGAAACAAATGTAATTTAGAAATCACGAAAAATAATTCTTGCGGTATCATTAGAATAATTAAAGGTTCAAAAAAAATCATTATTATCCTATAATTATCGCGTACAGAGCGTACACGGAAACGCGGGCGTTTTAACGATTCCACCGGTAATAGTTTCATTGGACTAGTTTCGACGTTGAAAGAGGCCCGATATTGTGAATGTAATCCGCCGAAGAATCGGTCACTGACGTGCAATATAACCCGTCCTGCATGTAATTAACTCTTAACCTTCCGCCGCACGTTCATACATATATACAGGGTGGTCCCCAATCGCTTTACAATGGACCATCGAACCAATGGACCACAAACTAATCGAAATCACCCCGTAGATCGCCAGTTTTTCCATCTTTTTCGCTCCTTTGCGCGTCTCTGTCTCGCACACGCGCGTATATCGCGGTCGCCACGCCGTCTGACCGACAGAAATCGCTCAAAGGTATCACCGACCTTCATTCGGCGACTATTTCTCGTCGTAATTAAATATTTTCGACTCGAAACACCGTACGCACACGATCGAAAATTAGGCCGATTCACTATAAGACCGTCGTGACGTCGGCGAGTCGTCGCGGCGTTGCCGAATCGTCCAATTTGTCCGTGAAAATGGCGCTAAATGAGAGGCGAGAGGGAACGAATTAAACGAGTTAATAATTTCGATTTGTTAGATTAGGGTTACCGAATTAGAGGCGAACGTTACGCGTTCGTGATTTTCTAACGGGCATGTACCGTAAATAATTTCATTTTAATGCGGAATAATTCATTATTTAACTAAGTAGATGATTAGATAATGAGGAGTCGAGCGTTGCGTGACGATTAGGCGATTCGATCTAATTCGGACTGGGATTTAATTGACTCGAGCTTTTTTCGTGTGTTATTAAAGAGGTTTTTTTTTTCATTTGTGAAAATGCATTTTAATTGAAATGGTATACAGTGCGTCCCAAATTGGTGCGCTTTCAAAGAGTTATTTAACACTAAAAGGAGCTTATTTTCTATACAATTAATGTAATTTAGGGAATTTTTACTTACCAAAATGAGGAAAAACAGGTCGTACAACGAAGGCATCGATATAAGCAGCCTGAGATTGCGTGCCAAGCACCGCATCGTATCTCGTAGGCCCTGGAATCAGAAAACTTGATTAATTCAATACCCTCAATAGCAAAATTTAACAAAAACCTTTTCATCCAACCAATAAAATCAATTATCCAACCAACAAAACCCATTATCGTGCTGTTGTCTTCCTAAATGAGATATCTACTCGAATGAATCAATTTATTTAACCAACAAAATCAATTATCTAACAATCAATTTTGCACCCAATGGGAACCAATTATCTACGCGAAATTGCTAAAAAAAAACGTTTCAATCATTTCCCGGTACCATCATCAATTATCACGAAATTATTATGCACACAACTACCGGTGAAAACAGGCATGTTAACGCTTTGTATGCAGCAATTAGAAGATTCAAATGAAGCTGTAACGCATTAGAATAATAAGTAAAATAAACGTGGATCGTTTATCGATCAATCTCATCTATAATGTTAATCTCGGCGCGGTTTTTTTTATAAAGCGCAAATATCCGATCGATTAAAGCCGTTTGATAAATCCGCGAATACGCGATAATTCGACGTCTCGACAAGGCCGTGTGGAATGTCCGCGAAACTGGTATTGAGGTTCGATCGAGACCATTCGATCGGTAATTAATCGATTGAGGAGCGCAATCGATTTATTTCGCATGGTAATTAGCGGCATAGAGTCGACACGGGAGTCGGGATGTTGTGCAATAAATAATGGAAAAAAATTATCGAGGAAAAAAATCGCGGAGAAATAGAAAGAATCGATTTATAAAACAACAGGCACTCACCATACGTTTAATCTACTTACCGTTATTTAAACATAATTTTATAGCGAGTTCGTACAATATTGGTCTTGGATATTTGTCGAAAACAGGGACGGACTCTATTCGATTATGTCAAATTAATTCTTCTTTGAAACAATCCCCCTGGTTGCTTTTGTTGGATATATTTATTAACGGAATCGTGCATACGTTAAATATAACGTAATTTCGGGTATATGTATACGAACATTTTTTCGTTATATTAAAATTAAATCCGAATTTTTTTCTTGTATATTTCATACTGTTTACAGTCGATTAAACGAAGCATAAGCCGCAGGGGTTGCAGAATAATTGGGAATCTTTTTGAACCTACCCCCTAAAAATGCTTATTATATCTACCAGCGAATTTTCAACAAACAACTGTAAAGAAATTAATTCCAATTAGCTTTTGAATTAAACAAATCGACTAAATTTAAGAGATTTCCTTTAGGTGTTTTTCTTTAAAGCTTGATGTGGCTTTAGTGATTTTTTTTGGCAACATTGACCAACTAGATTCTATATGATAATGAAGGAGAAGAAAGAATAGGCCTTGTGATAGGTTCTAAAACGGTCAACGCGGATCCGGTAAAGCACGAATCCGGATGCAAGAGCGCTCACATATGGCCGGCGCGGACAAATTCATTAGAAAATCTCGTATATACCTTGGTACTAATTACGGATTAATTTTCGTATTCTTCCGAACAACAACAGTTAGTCTCGGCCTATTTCTCAGCTTCACTTACCTTGTTCCGCTTTACGATCTACTCGTAAATTCTACGGCACATTCGTAGACACAGACGCATTGTATATTTATCGTTTTTCTATTAGATATATGTAGATACATTATGTCGGTTTTTTTACATAAATGTATTCGCTCTATGCACTGCTGTGGATGATTAAAAATTTATGTAAATTCTCTTATGGGGCAATGAATTGCTCCTAAAATATCTCGTCTGTGAATTACAGGGCATATTGATTTATCGTTTGTACAATTTATCTTACATTTGACCAATCCTTGGATAATATTTCATTATTCTTAGATAAAATAACCCAGGTAATAAAGTACAAAATTTGGAAAAAAAAAGACACTAAAAACTACCTAATTCTATATCGTATAATCATATATTACTATTTTTTGTACAGTAACATAAATTAGCATCACCAGATGAACATTTTCTACGTCGTAAATCCGCATTATTATTATTAAGCGATCGTAAAGAAACTTATTCTCTCGCTAACAATAAATATTCGATAAATATAATGGATATAGAGAGACCACACCTGATATCATTATGTACAGTAAGGTAAGCTAGGTTAACGTGGAAACGGCGAGAAAGAACCGAAGGCAGAGAATACGCATTAATTTTTTTTTTAATATAAAATATCTAACAGTCATTTTTCGGTTTTACGATTGTTGTTAGCCAAGAGGAAATAACAGTCATTAAAGTTTTCGATAGTTTTATATGCGGTTTTATACGCATTCCGAATCTCTTGTGGAAATATAAACCTGCTTATGTTTAATTAAAATTTAGTGAATTATCCATTATATTTGATAATTAATAATTTACTAACGACAATAGACCTAACAAGAGGTTGGTTAAACTCATAGAGAATATAGAGTGGAAAAAGCGTGTATTCGTAGATGGCACAAATTGAATTTTGCGCATACTGTCACTTGTCATTTAAGGTAGATACCAGTGTTGCCAGATGTAGCGGAATTTAAACACAGCGTTGCCAGAAGTAACGGAAATCCACTACTTTTAGGCGATCTTGTGTAGGCCTTATATAGTTAAAACCTTATATACTAATAGTTTATATGATCTAAGGTTAAAATAAACGACTAAATAAATAAACGATACGAAATAAAATAAATGTTAACAAAATGAAGGAAATTTTCTATTACTACAAGTATCAAAAATTTTAAATCATAATAAAAATATACCATATGACCGAATTATTCCGCTGCAAGCATTAGAATTAGAACTCAATCAATTCTATAAGATAGTAAGGAACAGGAACTTCTTTATCGGTTATTCGCTTCGCTTCGTGCGAATACCGGCATTTGCTCTCTTTATTCCTTACATAACAAAAGTTCAATTAGCTATCTCATTATTTTCATTGTCTTTTCTACCTTAAATGACATGACAATGTCAAAATTGTCAAATCTGTCAAATTCAATTTGTTCCATTATTTTCACGCGCATCCGTATGCTTTTGCCACTCTATATTTCTCTATGGTTAAACTCGATAACGTAAATTATGTTCTGTGCCATTAATGTCAATTGTGTCGTTATTTACAAGTTCTGTGTCATTTATTTGAGGTAAACAGTGGCCTTTTACTTCATAACGAATGTACCACTAAAAAAATTAACACCCCTTGTTAAAATAGGGTTTAGTAAAGTTTTAACTGCTTTAATTTTATATAATCGTAAATCGCTTGAAAACTATAACTGCTTATCCAACTCAATTTGATTGTAAAATACCGGTGTTATAAAAAGAGGGCGTGGGACATTAAAATTCATTAAAACCGAGAAAAAAATATAATTTTACTATTTGAATATCCGATTTTACGAGTATACCAAAATTCTGATCGTTTTTTCAGATAAAACCGACTTTGATACCGTTACTCGTTTATACCAGATGTTACCTTATTAAAGGGTAATATTTTACCAGATAAATTGACATATTGTTTACAACTAACACCCAAAGATATTTTAACAATTAATAAGCAAATCCCTCGTAAGCGAAATTGCTCAATCAACGTTAATTGATATTCCTCGCGAGATGAATTCTAGATGAAACGGAATGGATGGCATTCGGTACGAACACATACCTGTTAAATTGGCCTTCTACCTAACGATCCGACGTCGCGTTAATAATATCCGTTAAAAATCGCATCGATTCCTGCGATTATTACCATTCCCGGTAATTATGCCCAATGCATATTTCAATTATACACAATTAAGTCGACGATGGAATGCACGATGGGCCGGTTCGCTCTTTCGCCTGGACGGAAATCGGGTTTTTCATCTAAAGCGAGCTCGATCGCTATCTCTACAAAACCGAAGAGATTCCAGGCAATGAATTTCCGTCCGTTTGTGTCGGGGATTCGACCCACCGTGCGACGTACGTGACGGTAATATTTCGATTGCGCCGTAAATGCGACGATGCCTCGGAAAGTGTATATAAAATGTATTAAATGTGCGAAGAAGAAGTCGATTCGATGCATTCGGGCATTTCGTATAATGCTCGACCGTCCGGGATTTCTTTCGTTTTGAGCGCGGGTTTTTTACTCCGTTTTTTACGCGACACGATTTAGGTATTTTGCTCGCTCAGCTAATTACACGTGTTCATAACTATTATTAAATTAAGCAAATGATAGTTATTTAACCAGCTAAGAGATTGGTTTTAATGGGGTTTTCCTATACAGGCTGGTTCTTCGGGAGATGTCTATTAGAAAAATAGGGGAGAAATTTGGTTTATTAACGATTATTTTATTTTAGTGTAATTGTAAATATCTATTAATTAATTAGTCGTAATGTACGATTATAAAAAATGTAATCGTTTGATGAATATTCATTCTTTGGTAATTATTGCTGTTTCTTTACTTGTTATAACAAGCAAAGTGCCTATATAAAATCAAAAATGTACCAATTATCAAGTAATGAAGACCAATAATAAATTTTGTATCGGGAAAATTGTTGCAAATAACCTTCCTTTCAAGTATCTACAAACTTTTCCTATGCAAATAATTCATAATTTTTTTGGATCGCCCAATTTTTGAGCAACCAAAATCAATTTTGAAATTGTTACTTAAATCCTATATTTATTCAGTTGATAGATACAATTAAATTTGTTGAATGAAACTTTTAATACCCTACCAAATAAAATTGATCAAATCGAAACGATTTTGGAGATGAAAAAAAGTTTATAAGTTTGTTTATGAGGGAGTTTTGTTGCCCTATTTGTACTCCTACTATCTTCTAGGTTGGTTTTATATTAAATGCTTTTAGTTGGGTAAATAATAATAAAAAAAAGTACTCACTTTAGGTGAACAAACGTCAATTTCATCAGGGCCGCAAGAGCCCGCGTCGGCACGTTATCGAAACGGGTCGCATATGTGAGACGAAAAGAAAATCAGCCCGATCGTCGACGAAAAATCGAACGAAAATAAATCAAATCAACCAGCGGATAATTTCGAGCGAATCGGTCGCGCACCAGCGGCTCAGAGTCCGCGATATATTCTTATTCTCGCGTCGATACCAGGAGAGGAGTCTCACTCAAGTCAAGTCGCACGACAAATTCCACATAACGGAAACACTAATACTAGTACAACGTTTTTACCCATTCATGTCACACGCCAGGGTACGACCGGCGGTACGGAGGACGAGACGGTGCGCGAGCCGACCGCCCGGGAGTACGATGGTGCTCTGACGGTACTTGGTACTTGGTGCTGGGCTGCTGGTGGACTGGACGGTGCCTTCGCCGCGGTACTTCTTCCGAATCGCCGACGAGTACTGTGGTACCGGTGCCGGTGCTGGACGATCGGTCACTGGTCACGGTACTCGCAGTGGTAGCCGGTGTTAGTGGACTCGAGGAAGATCGAGACCGGACAATCGATTGCGATCCATTCGATGGTGAGCTATCGATTTTTTTTTCCTTCATGTCGAGCGCATAGTGGGACTAACGGCGGGTTTGGTTCGAATGAGATCTTGTTTTCGGTAGAGTTTATTGCGAAACACCTCGTATATGCATTGTAGATGATTTGCGGGTACTTGGAATTGGGTGTTTGTTGTAAATTTGTCACTGAAGATGGGTTTTTTGGAAGACGAAAAGTCGCTTATTGCTTTATGATTGTGGGGATGGGAAAAGTTCGTTTTTATTCAAATGAACGAATCTTTTAGATAATAATATTCTATTGATTTCGGAAACACTGTATATTTTATTGCCGTATTATTTATTTCCCATTCCCACCATAATAACGATAAAACCAAACGAGCAAATAAACAGTAAACGGTCGAAAATCCTATTCCGGAAACGGAATGAAATCGGTTCGTTTCTTTAATTAGCGGTTTAAAGTTCGGCCTACATCTTCAGTATGGCATAATTGGCGTACTAATTAAAATAATAACTAATATCCTTCATCATCATCATCATCGTTCTCTTGTATTCTCGTTCGGTTTTCGTACCAAACGATCGCAATGGTCTATATGCTTTCTAGAGTATTTATTTAGTTATGTGGCTGCGTTTCGCAATTAAAAAACATAAAAGGCCATTAAAATGATCGACGGCATGTAACGGATTTATCAGATGCTCGTTTAAATAGATTAAAATTAGGAGCATATTTCACGCTGACCATAAGGGGGCTATTTGTTTCGACGATTAATAAGCGATTTCCGATGATTGGGTTTGGATATATTCGCCGCACCGTGGGGTGTTTGACCATTTTAGTCGGCCCAAATTATTCACAACTAATTGCCAAATAAATAAAAAAATGTCGAAACATTACTATTCACATTGGTTTGTTATAAAAATGTAATTTAATTGTACAATTAATGAAGGAATGAAATATCTAGTATAAATATGGTGGCTTTTGTGTCAAAGAAATGTCAAAAATGACAGAAAAAATGAAGTTGTCAGAGAGAGAAACGAAATGTCAGAAATGTCAAAAATAGTAGAAGTTAATAATGGTATTAATAATTTTCTCCATAAGATACCCATAGGTATCTCATACGTGTCAGATACATATGGTACAGAGTCCCATCGCGTATATGCGGCATTCAAAGTCGTTGCCCTTATGGTATTCCATTCCCCGCAATTTACTCGCCATTCGCCGAGCGAATGACAGACCATTCGCATCGACCAGCCTTCGCTGTTTCTTTCCGATGGCGAATTAATCGATTATTCAATCGATCGACCGATGCGCCGCAATGTCGCCGATCGGAACCGATCGAAAATTTTCGAACCTTTCGCTGTATATCGATTCGGAATCGATTAGCGGGGTGTTTTGTATTAGCAAATTCGACGGTAATGGGAAATGGCTGATGAAAAAGCGAAGTCAAGGCCTACGAGTCGCAATTGAAATTGTTTGCTCTGTTAGCCGGCCTGAAAAATATACAGAGGGATAAAAAACCGCGCGGCTACAATGTTGCGATGATGCATTGATAAGCGCAGGGACGGACCCTTCTTTCTCCCGTAGCGCTTTTATTCCGCCAAAAAATAACTCGAATTATTGAAAAATTTTGATTGATTGTTAGGTGGTGGATTGGCTGATGGCGGAGACATTATTAAGTCCATTAATAGTCGAGCAAAAGTCCGTATAAAAAAACTAAAAAGGAAAAAAATACCGAAAACAGTTGTTTTCCTAGAAATATAGCGGTCGATCGGCACAGAAACGTACCAGCAGAGTACTTACATAACCTTTTTGGGGACGTCGTAAGTTGTACAAACCTCTTACGCGCACTTATCATAAACGACTGAAATCCAAACGACATTTGCGCCTAAGTACTCTCCTCTATTTAATCGTACTGAAGATTATAAAAAAGCTTACACGATTACCAATATAACTACCTATCGATACCCCAAATTTGAGACATTCTGGTACGAACTAACTCAAACTATGTTATTAAAATTAAATAATAACCTTTCTACGAGATTACTAACAATAAGACGAGATAAAATAATAAGTACAATCGACGTATGCGACAGGATTTACAGTGAAATCATTACGGGTAATTTGTGTGTGTACTGGCACATGTCGTTACTGCCGTAAAAAGAAATATTGACATACCATTCTCTGCCGATTTCGTTGTATATACAATACTGCTTCGTTATCAGGACCGTATTTGATGAAATTACGTCTTGCCTAAATCGATTTACTACTCAGGGAAATGTGTGGGGATTTCGTAAGGGTTGGTACGGTCCTGTCTATTTTCTGAAACCTGGTGTCTCTATTAACAATTTCGCCTACAAAGTCTCGTATTTTGGAGAAAACTTTACTTTCCAACCTTCCAATTATTTGTTTCCCCAAGTTTTCCCATTTCGGGAATATATCCAGTTTCCAAAATTAGTAGCTCATTTCGCATGAACGTACTCGCTCAATAAACCTTTCATCTAAGTTTCGAATTATAGCGAAAAGTTTAATTTCGCTACGGTTCGAATCAGTCCGGTTCTGATTGCATCAGATGCGTTCTCGTCCTATTGACGAAATAAAAAAAAATGTTCTATAATCTCCGAAGGAAAGCAAAACTGGCTGTTAGAGTTTTCCGCGTTTTTAATTACCGACGTAAAATCGTGGAGAAAAAGAGCGAACGTTCGAATTTGTAAAAGGCAGCAGCGGCATTGTTGAGCGTTCCGAGAAACGGCCTTTTATTGTACGCGATAAAAAATAAATCCCCTGTTGTTTAACAAAAAATTTATTTACAATAAAAACAATTTCACTAGTTAAAATCTAACACAAAAGCCTCGCTGAAAAGCAAGCGAAATAGTAAAAATTGGCTTAATAAAAATCGCGCGTTTTTGGATTAAAAATATTCAAATTAGTCCTTTTCACCTTATCTATTTTAAAAATACGTTCGTTAAATTAGACGAAAAAAAAAATATAATAAACTGACTAAAACAAAAATAAAAACCAAATTAGTTAAAATGAATCCCTTTGCGTTAATAAATGTATAAGATTCGTAAAAAAATATAGCGAATGCAATAAAAAAGAAACGATTTATTATTCGGTGAAAATTCAAGCCATCGCCGAAACGGGTAACGAACTGTGTTTAGGCTTCATTTTGTTAACAAATACTTTTATGCAACCGTTAAAATCCGCCGAAATCAGCACGTAACCTCCACAGCCTTTCGTGTGTTGCTCCACCACCGGATCTTCCACCTGAAACACATCAGTTTAATTACTTATTAACCGCCATTTTAAAAAAAGTTTCGTGTGGTTAGAGATGTCTAAATTCAATCTGTCAAAAGTCAAAACTTCAAAAATTATTGACATTTTGACAACGCACCTGTTTATCACAACTCTCCTCGACTATCACTCTCCTCTGGCTCTCCTCCATCATTTTGATTATAGCCTCCGGATTGGGGGCGAATATGGCGCACGTAACGGTAGCATTGTGCGCTTTAATCGCCTCCCAAAAATCGTTTCGATCTCTCCTAACCGACGAAAACTTCGAATAATCGTGATTCGTCTTCCAAATGTATATATCCCTATTCTCCGATCCTGCAATACGCATCTCAGTAACATCCACACCGAATTAAACCGTCTCCTTACCGCTGACGATGTACTTCCCGTCGTGGCTGAAACTCGCCTTGATCTGGCTGCTCATGTTCACGTAGCCCTTGTACTTGCACGACACGTTCAGATCGCGCAAATCGTACAGCCTGATCCTGCTGTCGTTCGACGTCACCAGGATCTTATCCTCGCCCGGCATCGGCTCGATACCGCTGATCTTCCGCCCGACGGCGTTTCTACCGCGCGACGATCGCACGTGTATCTGCGTGTGGTACTTCAACTGATCTGTAATGTAGAAGATGCACCGCCCGTCGTACGTACCGACCACCGCGAATTTCCCGTTCTGGCAGAAATTCGCCGCCGTTATCAACTTCGGATTGCCTTCCACTTCGTTCCATACAGCCACCTATACACCAGAAACGTTTTATACCTGTTAAACGACTCGCTAATCGCTCACTTTTTTATCGGGAATGTTCCACAATCGCAGCTTCCCGTCCAAAGATCCGCTCAAGAAGTACCGATCGTCTCTGGGATGGAACACGATGGCGGTGACGAAGTCGATGTGCTGGAAGCAACAGAGGCACTCCTTCCGGGAGATGTGCCACAATCTGACCGTTTTGTCCATCGACGAGGACAGTATGAAGTAGTTCTTCGACCAAGAGACGTCGAGCAGGTCCGACGTGTGGCCGGAGTACGTGCAAAACGGCCTCGGCATGAACGTCAATCGGCTGGCCTCTTCCGCCGACATCACGTCGAATACGGCCAAGTTGGACGCTTCGGCTGAATGATGGGACACCAGGGATTCCTGCGACGGAGTCGGGGAGACCTTCTCGGCGTTGTATTTAGTACGCATGTCCTGTATAAATTACTGTTTGATCAATGGTTTTGTTATAGGTGGTAGTTATTTACCTGGAAGAAAGGATAGGCGTCTCTAACTACCCATATTCGCAGTATTTTATCTTGTCCGGCCGTGGCTAATAATCTACCGCAACTCGAAAATTTCATGCACCAAATGGGGCCTTCGTGTTGATCGTCGTTCAGCTCTTGGACGTGTTCCACCTTTTCGAACTCGTAAGGACCTTTGTGGGAATTCGCAGCCTGTTACATACAACACTACGTTAATTTCCCCGTTTTTAATAAGAAAATCGGTTACCTTAAGCTTGCAGTTTTGCTCGCCGGGATGTACGTTATCGATGATATCGATGGAATCCTCCTTGTGCCTGGCGTGGGACACCTCTTGCGCGATGGATTTCGCCTTGTGCATGGTTTTCTTCACCGTAGAACCCAAAAACCGTTTGAATTTCGCCGTTTTCTGCCGGATGCCGCCGGCTTCGGCTTCGTTCTCCTCGACGATCGGTATGTCGGATTTCTTCCCCACGCTCTCCTCGTCCGATTCCTTCTCCTTCTCCATGCTGGAGCTGCTCACGTACTCGGAGGTGATGCGCATTATGTGCAACGACAGGGGATTGATGCACTGCGGTAGCTTGTCTTCGGCCACGCTCAGCGGCACCCTTTCGCCCGTATCCAAATTCAATACAGTCACTTGCTCGAGTATCTCCAGATCGGACAGTTGCTTGCCGGAATCCGTGTGAGTGCGAACGCACAGATTTTTCAAGTAATTCTCGTCGCCCGCCGATTTTCTACGCTCCTTCGACGAGTGCTTGCTGTCGTTTTGATGCGTCCCTCTAAAACAACTCGATTAGTTTCTCCAATCGAAAACGCACGGGAATTACCTATGAGGTCCTAAACTGTAATGTCCCACGCTGCTTCGATTCGAGCCCCTCGGGCTGCTGTTGACCGTCGTTTTATCGGTCGATACGCTCAATTTATCCGCGCCGTCGCTGTCCAATTCCTCTTTGGACGTAGGCCGGGCCTTCGAGCTGACGTTGTCCTGCGGCTTCACCACGAACTGGCCCTTCAGCGCTTCTCTGATGTCCAACGAATGGCCCGATCGCAGGGTCGAACTGCGCGAAGCCGTGCCCGCTCCTTTCTCGGACTTGAACGACGGCAATCGGTCTAAAGAATGTTCGAATTCTCTGGTTAGCGATTCGATCGTGGTAGCGGGACTAGCTAATTCGGAAGACTTGAAACTAGTGCTAGAAGCGGATTTCTAAAATCAAACAAAATACCAAACCGTGAGCGATGGAACAACTCGAACCAACGCGAGAGTCTTATAGAGTAGTTTATTCATTTCTACGAATTATGAGTGAATCTTACTGCTAGTGCCAGTGCGGTAGCGGTACTTTTGTTTTTCTTTTTGCGCCTAGGGGGAGCGACGGGTGCATCTAAACCGGCGGTAGCGTGATTTTGCGAACTATCGAAGCTTTTTTGCGAGTACGGTTTCGTGCTGGCTATGACGTCGGGCTCCTGGAGGGGCGGACGGGGCTTGTCCGGCCCGACGCCCGCCGGTTGTGTACCTGGCGAGAGGGTGACGGTGCTCGAGTGTTGCTTGTTCGAACTTTGAGTGGACTCCGAGTCGAGGGAGCTCGACGACAAAGCCGAGCCCGAGGCGGTTTTCTTCCCCGATTCCGATAAGCCTCCTTGAACAAACCACACTTTAAGTGCATTTGTTAATTAGGGATTAGATTGTTTGTTGTACCTGCTTCGGGAACTCCTCCTAGGATCCTACCGACTCTACCTAGCGAATTTAAGCTCTGTAAACTAATGGTGTCCTGTTCTATGATGCGAAATGGATGAGTGGCTCGGCTCGTGCCGGCGAACACCCCTTCGACGGAGGAATTCTGGCTGTTCGGGGGCGTAATATTACCGGGTTGGTAGTCCTCGTCATCGTGCTGGAGTCGTTGGCGTAACTCTTTGAATTTCTTTCTGCCCCCAACATGTACTTCGTTGATTTTGGCGCATTCCGTTTGTCTCGATTCGTCCGAGGGTTTATCGGTTTTGTTTATTCCGAGTATGTTGGGTTCGGAACAGGCTCTTTTAGATAGAACCTCCTTAGAATTCTTCTTGTTTTTCCTGGAAAACGGCGAAAATCAAGCGTGTGTGACTTGTTTTGTTTATTTGGATGTCAAGTAAATAAAGCGAAAAGTCATATTGCAAATCTCACAGAAACAGTCTACAAATTTTCTATTTCTATCGCAGAAAAAACGGACCCATGAGAGAAGTCTTCGAAGTAAGTGAGAATGTTTTCTAATCGTTTTTTTCAATGTACGAACCTTGAACTGCTCGGTGAATTATCTTCTGCATCGTAAAATTCATCAGAATCGCTATCACTGGACATACTTGGTAACCGTTATGTTCATTTCATATTTTTCTTTTTCGCATTAAGATCGTGATATGGTCATTTTACGTGGGTGTATCGCTAAAATTTTGATTTGATAAGATTTTTTATTTTGTAATTGTTAATTGTCAAGTGAATGACAGTTTTGACAGTTTCATGTTTGCTAAAAAGAAATCTGTTTTATCGGCCGAAAATGTCATAAAGCCCTTAATACACCCATATCAAAATTAAAAACAAAATTTTTTTTTTATTAATTTCACAAGTTTTTTACAATCTATTATGTGTTTTTAATATCTTTATAGTTATTTATTAGAAAATACTAATAAGTCGATAGTGTTGATTGGATGTTTTGTAGAATATAATTGATTGTTTGTGATAAATGTTGGCATCCCTGCGCGACGAAATCTTAAACCGGCCCTAATATTTTTTCAGAACCACAGCAAACCTCAAATACGCTTTCCACTCAAGGTTGTTTTCTCTTCTAAGAACCAAATCAACATGGAGGACTTAGCTGTGGAAGTATGCGGCGAAAACGGCGCTCTATATAAGGTCAGTAGGGATTTATTTGCGTTATTTTTCCGATTAAAATAGATTAACAACGTCGGTCGATGGTTTGGCTAGTCGTTTTCGGCGATAGGTCGCGTCTATTAGTCGTACTTCTTTAGAATTATTGTAAAATGTGATTGACTAAACGCGGTTCTTTTGACGCCATGACCATTTGACAGGGCGTGAGTTCACATGTGCATTAATTTCGTCGGGAATAGTAACTTTATCCGCGATTAAATTCAACGACGTTCGATTGCGATAAACCGAATTATCTGTGAATACGGTGAATCACTACCCGAAAGGTTAGGTTCACGAGGTGTATCATATTACTCGTTATTCATCGTTAAAGTAGCTAACTTTTTTTTATTATAATTTTTTTGGTGTTTTCTAGGGCTTTGTAATAGACGTTTTCGACGATGAAGTACTTATACACTTTGAGGACGAGTGAGTATTTTTGAGTTTTTTTAGTGTCGTTAAGGATTGGTACATTTTGGGTTTGATTTCAGCTGGCAGCCGGATTCGAAATTCCCTTATTCCCAGGTTAAATTGCCCCCTAAGCCGGATCCAAAGGTAGAATTTACGGAGAACATGGAAGTCGAGGTTTATTCTAGATCTAATAATCAAGAGGCTTACGGATGGTGGAAATCTAGGATAAAGGTGAGTTTTCTTGAATTATGTTTATGTGGAATTGTATTAACCAGATATTTGTTGGCGAAAGAATATTTTAGACTTAATAGATAAGGGTATAATAACGTCTAAACATGATTAGAAACTTCCACATAATGGAACAATGTACAACAAAATGAGACATGACAAATTCAGTTGAATGCAGGATTTAATGATAAGATAATGCACATTGAAAATTAACATTTGCTGGTTATTTAGACAATGCATGATAAAATTAGACTTGACGAAAGACTAAAAATCAGTGAGGACCAAATTTGAAATAGCTATAACTTTATGGACTATAAAGTGTTGCACAATATGATAAGATAATGCATGCTAATTTCCATAATAAAATTCAATCAATGGTAGTAGAAAATGTATATCAAATTTATTAAATTAAATATTCATCAATACTATTAGAATATTGTGTTCTGTCAAAAGTTGCATTAATCTTTGTACATTGTGTATTATTCACTCGTGAATTCCCTTAATAAATTGTGCATTGTGTCTACTACTCAACTACTTCATGCCTCTCATGTATATTCAAATTTAATTTCTTGATGTCATTAAACTATCGAAATGATTACGCGATTATTTAACGATTATGTAAAATTTTAAATAATTGACGCAATTTATGAGATTGATATCTTTATTGTTATACAATTAATTTCCTATAGAGACCTATTTTTGGTAAATTAAATAAATATTTTACAACGGTAAATTTAGAACAATAGTGTGGAAGTAAAAAGTTAATTTTTCGTGAATATTTCATTGGATTTATGTATAGGTTTTAATAGTATATCTTGTATTATTCAAGAAAACTTAAATAATAAATTAAAACTTTAAAAATTGTATTTATGATTTGTTTGTAGATGATGAAAGGCGACTTCTATGTACTGGAGTATGTAGGCTGGGAAACTACGTACACTGAAATAGTTAGCATTGATCGCCTTAGGGCCAAAAACGCGAATCCTCCAATTGACAAAAGTATGTTCTACAAATTTGAAATTCAAGTTCCTGATGATGTTCGTGAATAGTAAGTTTTGATCGAATCGTTTCGATGCGGCTCTACATGTTTTTGAAATTTCAGCGCTAAGATAGAAAATGCTCACAAAGAGTTTCAAAAAGCAATAGGCGCCGGCTGCATTACGTACAATGCAGAAAAGAATGTACTTGTAGTGATATCGCGAAGCATGGGGAGCAGTCGGTGCGCCAGTTTACTGCAAGACATGCATTTTAGAAGTCTTTCACAAAAAGTGCTCTTATTAAAACGTACAGAAGAAGCTGCCCGTCAACTGGAGAGTACCAAATTGGCGACGATCGGAGGGTACGTTTTCCTAAATGAAATACCGTTTGAATGATAGTGCGCTTAAGAGTAATACTAACATTTTTACATATACAGAGAATCGTAACCAATATAATGAAGATATTGCATAATTGCAAAGAAGTTTCTTATTTTTTTCTGATTTTTTTTGAACACATGTGATATTAAAATAGCATCATTACACAGTTGCCAAATGAGTAAAAAATCGTAAAATTTAAGAATTTCTTTCAATCATCGATCTGTATTGGGTATATGTGAAAATTATTAGGCATACTACATAAATGTTATGATACAAACACAAGAGACGAGTTGATGATTATAAAAAATCGACTTCATCCACTTGTGTCTTCGAAATTGGTCCTATTTACACGCACACGAACGGAGATTCGCCATTGAAATTTCCGCGTGATCATTTCGTGGAAATTTTAAGGACGAATTCGATTAAAAAACAACGATTAAATCCTCGTCCGCATTGAATGGTCTCTACTTGTTTTTTTTTTTGTACAAACGGTTTATTTTTTCTCTCTCCTTTCAGCAAAAATAAATCCGCTCGCCAACACGGTTTTCACTCGGGACGGGCCAGCAGGTGAGATTTGAAGGCAGCATGTTTTACTTAGTTTATATTCGGAAAAAGTAGGTTTTTTTTTGTCGTCCTGGCTCTTCCTGTCGGTGAGATTTATCGCCGTTAAAAATTAGAGACCATTCTGATGTATATCATTTGCGCGATGTTGGCATGGGATCTAATTTTTTTTTGTGTTTTATTTACGTTTGAATGTGTGTGTTGTTTTTTTTTTTCTGTAGCGGATTCGTTGTACGTAGTTTATGAACATTTTACGGCACAATTTTTAGTTGTGTAGCAGGGATGATGTAGATGTAATGATTATTACACAGGGTACTCAAAGCACAGTAGTTTTTATTTATTTTATAATACTTGAATTATTAAAAAACGTGCCTTGTTATATTTTTTTAAATGATGTCATTCGAATGTATTAGCCAACTTTTAAACATGCAATTGCCTTGATGAAGATGTTAGCATGGTAATTTGACGATTATTTAAATGTTTAATTGACGTAGTAGTAATAATTGAAATATGCAAGTTATAAATGATTTGTTTTGCAGGTATTCGGACGAGTTTATCGTTAGAGAAGACTTGATGGGTCTGGCGATCGGCGCGCACGGCGCCAACATCCAGCAGGCCAGGAAAGTGGACGGCATCACCAATATCGAATTGGAGGAGAACTCGTGCACATTTAAAATTTATGGTGAGACTGATGAGGCTGTGAAAAAGGCGAGATCCATGTTAGAATATAGCGAGGAATCGTTGCAGGTGCCTCGCGCACTCGTCGGCAAGGTGATCGGTCGCAACGGGAAAATTATACAGGAGATCGTCGACAAAAGTGGAGTGGTAGGTGTTCCAAAACGTTAGATGCGATTTTTCATGTATGCCCGTTTCGGGTTTGTTTTTAGGTGCGGGTGAAAATCGAAGGGGACAACGAGCCCCAACCGACCATACCGAGGGAAGAGGGCCAGGTGCCTTTTGTGTTCGTCGGTACCGTCGAGAGCATATCCAATGCTAAGGTGCTGTTGCAGTACCATCTTGCTCATCTAAAGGTAAATTAAATTGTTATTTATTTTTTAAATATATTAGATACCTACTCGATATTCGTGTGGTTGTTGGGCGAGTCTTTTGTAACAACTTAGATCTTGGAATCTTCTTGTTTTACGATGATTTTGATGTCTTCAAATACTAGCAAACATTAGTAGCTCCGAAGCCCTTATCGAAAAGATCTTTAAGAGTCCTTTGAACACACCTACCTTCTACATTGTTGCCACATTCCTTTCTAATTCGTTTTTTTTTTGTTCGTGGTTTTTAGGAAGTGGAACAGCTTAGACAGGAGAAACTGGAGATCGACCAGCAGTTGCGCAGCATCCACGGCTCCGGCTTGGGTTCGATGCAGAGCCTGTCGATGGGCCGTCGCAACGATCGCGGCTACAATTCGGACGCGGACGGCGGCCGTTCGGGCAGAGGCGGCTCGATGCGCGGCCGCGGCGGTCGAGGCCGAGGCGGCAGGGGCGGCGGCGGCGGCGATAGATACAATTCCGGTAGTACCATTTCAGATTATGTAAACAATTTGGATAAGCGCAAGCACGCCGGCAACAACGGCGGTCGGGGACGGGGCGGCGGCGGCGGTACGGCGAACGGGAGGCCGCCGAGGGGCGGGAATAACGTTATAGCCGCCGCTACTAATAAAGACAGGGCGCTTAGGGGTGGCGAGTCTATAGGAATCGGGGAGGATAGGGAACGAAAGTGATTTTCGTTGAATGCTGAAACGTGGTGGCCTATTTTTTTTCGGTCGTCGACTTGCGTTAAAACTATATAGATTTTGTTTTTGTTTGTTATTTTGGCATCAAACGCTGACTCGGCTTTATGCATCACACTATACATTTTGAGACGTTGCATTTTTTTTATGTTTGTCGTAAGATTTGTTCCAAAGTAACCGCAGTTTGGAGCAAAGCTGTTATTTTGGCTCGTTAAAACAAATCGTATTTGGACGAAAAAAACGCCTGTTAAAGAGAGATGATGTATAAAGCCAGAAAAATAATTTCCAAGTGACTATAGACTGACCCGGCCGATGACAATTTTTTTCCAACACTAAAAACGTAACTTGCTCTCGTTTCCACGAATGTGAGTAAAAAGTGGACGTTGAGCACATTAAGATGAAGACTCTGAAAAATCGATACGAGTTGTTTTTCCTTTACTTGAAACGTACCAGTATATCAAGGTTTATTCTGATGTAATTGGCCTATAAAAACATTCTTGAAATTATCATTTGAATTGCTTTTTGCACGAGATTTCAAAATTCTGCTTTGTCTCCTTTAAATTTTGCACCCATAATGAAAAGGGTGAAGACGAAAAAATTACCATTATTTATGAATCGCCCTGTATAGAAAATTGCTTTTGTTCACCAATTATTAAATTTCTATCATTTTAGTGGCAGTGTCGATATATTCACACATACACTGTACATATAAATAGTTGTAGAACTGTTTATTGATCTGTTCTCTGGCTCTCATAAAACAAGTATTGCTTTTAATACTAATAAAGTAAATTTTTATAAAAGCAATATTTGTGTTATATAAAACGTAATAGTTTTTTTCAGTTTTTTTACATACTAGCTTTACAAACACGATTCTTGTGTTTTATAGGGCTTATTTAATTTCGTTTTAATTTTTTTTGAATATTCATCAGACGAAAATAGTTTAGTTTTTCTGTATTATTAGATTACTATAATCTTTCAATACTCTGTATTTATAAAAAATATATCAAGCAATTTGGTAGTAATGAGAAAAAAAAAATGATTAAAATCGCCAAGTTCTTCAATATGAACTTTAGACTAAATATAGTAAAACTTACTTTGTAACGGTAGGTGCAGTTGTTGGAATTTGGTATCAACGTTGAATTGGCTAATTAATTTGTTTTCCAACAAAAGTACAATTGCACTTCCTTTTACCTGGATTGTCACTACCATCTTAAGATATCCTCGAATAGCAAACGAGAGATTGTTGTTGATTAACAGTTTGCTGTTTGAAGGTTTAGACAGTTAGTAAACCCAAAAGAAGCTTATAAGTATGTTAACATAATTATTGAAAAATTGCTGGAAGGGTAAACGCAAACTAAAATTTGTCGATAAGAAAACGCTTTTTTCAAAAACGGTAGAGTTAAAGACAATTTAATTTTATACTCCAAAATCTCTACCGATTCGATGAGTTTGCTAACGATACTATTGTAAAACGATAACAAAGAACTCCAAAAGGCAAAAGACTGGCTCACTAAATATGTCTTGTATCTTATTGTGAGATTTTTTTACAAATATAACTTGATTAAAAACGAAAGCTTGTTTTATTTCTCTTTGAGAAAGGACTTTCGATACCCTTTCAGCAAATTACAGAAATTATGTTTTAACATTGTATCGCTTTTTTTTTCGTGTTGTTTATTAACATTCAAAAGTTTTGAGCGCGCGTTTGTTTACTCGTACGCTAGAAGGGGTTACTAGAGTCCTTGCACGTGTACCTAGAATCTAGTGTATAGAGAAACGAACCGGCGCAACCGACGCAAGTAAGTAATTAGTTTTGGTGGCAGGTTCGAGACACCAAACGCCCGACACGGCGGAGGATCGAGTGCACGATTTGCCGCCGCGCTACTACGGCAACGCGACTAGAGGCGGCAGAGGCGGCGGCCCGCGCAGGGAGAACCGTCGCGACGATCGAAGGCGCACCACCGACGACGAGGACACCGTCTTGGACAGTCACGACGTATCCAGCGTCGATCGAGGTGAGTTTGTGTACCGTTCGTAGCGTTTAAATCGAATACTACCCCCCCTTCCCGAAAGGACACGTGTGTGTAAATGACTCCTCCGTAGAGTCGGAATCTAGCGCGGAGGTTTCGGTGCCGAACGAGTCGCTGCGCAGACGTAGACGTCGCGGGAGACAACGCAGTCGTACGCCCTCGCTGCAGGTTACTGACGCAGGTAAATTGCTGTTGGAAACCATCGCCAATATAATTAAAAACAAACCACAAAAGGGGTGTTTCGTTGCTGACCTGACTGACAACATCTCATCATCGAGCCAAAACACGATTGAAACATGCGACTAACACCTCAATCATGTTTTGATTTAACCGCCCCCCTATCTAACCTGTGTGTGTGCGTGTGTTATTCGATACTAAAACATCATTATTGCGATTAAATGATATTTATTTTGGTTTCAGTAAACAATCATAACGATGCCGCCACCCACAACAACGATAGCGCTCATCTCGATGGCATTTCGAAAGCGAGAGAGGCGAAGGGGCGTCCGAATAGGGCGCCGACGGCGCGTCGAAACGACCCCAAACCGAAGGAAGCCATGGTAAACGGTACAACTACATAGAATTGTGCATTCGTGCTGCGTTGCTTAAAAGAATATTTTACTCCGGTCCGATGACGTAGACGTTATCTGAACGATGACGACGACTACGACGATGATGATGATGATGATGATGATTCTCGACGCCGCAATGCAGAGGGAGCGCCGTGAGAGTTTCGTTCAAATAACGGAAACTTCATTCAGACCGGGGTGTTTGTGCGCTCTAGAGACTATTCTAAATGGACTTTAATTTTTTCGTTGTTTTTTTATTTGTTAATTTTTGCGTTGCATATCTTTTCCCGGTGTAGTCATGAATTTAAAAAAAATATATGCGCGGGTGGTCTGCTGCCCCATCTCGGATGAGACCTGAGAGACTGCTCGGTTCTGTGAACCTTTTATCCCCGTTCCTCTCTCTCCCTAATACCCCCATCTCCCCCTTCCGCATCCTTGTTGCTTAAGACTGTAATTTAATAAAAAAAAGTTCAGTGACGTCTGTGAAGCTAAAAGTGTGATGAACATCTAAATAATAATAAATTTGTAAAACCTGGAAGATTTGTGACAATTTTTCTAATTTTCATACATTGAATATTACTTATTAGCGCACATAAAACATTGTAATGTTGGTAAGTTTACGTTTTGTGGAATAAAATGAGGAAATTAGAGAGTATTAGATGTTTTGTTTTCGGGAAGTTCAAAAATAGTTGTAGTATTATTTATTTTTAATGTCGATGTTATTTTATTCCACAAAATGTAGATGTGATTTCGCCAGCAGCTTTGCGGTGAAATTATTTAAAAACTTAATTTCTTACCTACTTAATTTTTATTTGCCATCTATTAAAATGTTTATGTGAATTTATTGTATTTATATATTTTATTTATTATTTTTTATTTGTTTTTTTGTAGTAGTTTGTAGCACTGTAAAAAATACAGAATTGTTCTTTTTTTTAATATTAAGTGTACTATTGTAAATACACGCCCTTCTATTTTGTAGATTGAACAGCGTTTTGATTAGTTGCTCATGTATTATTCAAATTACACAAATATGTTTAACTGCAGTGTATTAACACATTTTGCATCAAATAAAGTAAGTAAAAAATATTATTTATTTGATTAGAAAATTACCCTTACTTAAATGGAAATTTAAAAAACTCTATAAGACTTAGTTTTTTTTATTATACAACAAAAATATACGGACCTTTATACTCAAAGAATTCAAATTTGTGCATTTTTCTACATTGTGTAAAATAGATATGTTTATTGTATAGTAACATGCATAAAAAATTATATTCCTTTCTCAGTATTGCTCAATACGTCCGACATGCCACCGTTCAAATCGAACATAGGCAAAAATGATATCCCAACAATCATCTGGAACCGTACTAAACAGTACTGGTGTCCAATGCACAAGCCCAGAAGATTCCAGAACGCTCCAACAAAACAAATACTTTAGAATCGAGCTTCATACAATTGCTCAACCACTAAAAACATTCAAACAAAAAAATTGTGCCCAACAGTACTCCCGAAATGGTTCCAGGTCCGGTTCATATTACCGGCATAATATAGAATATACAACCTACCTGGAGTCGATCTTTACACAATTATCCACCTAGCAAGCTTACACGTAGAAATATATACAGCGAAACTCTACTCCGTTGGATTCATATCAGCCTCTCGCACTCCTCGCTGACGGACTCGTCCTCCTCGGAATCGGTCAGATAATCCTCGTCCGACCAGTGCTCGAACTCCTCCTTGTGGTGCTCCAGGGACATCAGAGACGGGAAGATGCTGTCGCAGGCCGAGCACCTGGTAAACAGACGTTTCGGTTAATTAATCGGGCGGATTAGGCGAAGGCAATTACCCGAAATGGCGTTTCTTCTGTTTGTGCGAGGATAATTGCTTGGGACTGGCGAACATTCGGTCGCACACGTTGCAGGTGAGGGCTTCTTCTGGAATGAGAAATTGAGGGTTTTTTTTAGTACGAAAGGTGTGTTTTGATTAAGGGAGAAAGAGTAATGGGCGTTGCTTTTTGGAGTTTAATGGAAGATTTATTTTCTGAATTGTGAAGTTTAAAAAAATTGAGTAATTGTGTACAAAGAAAAAAATCAACACAGAGACAAAGCACGTAATAACAACGTTTTCATTTAATTTGTCTCTCTTTTGTACATAAAATTCGTAATAAAACGGCAAACATTTAACTCGGCCCGAATGGAAGACGTTAAAAAAACGCGTATAAAACGGAAAATTTCATTTCTACTCCGTCGCAGCGGGAGGGCGAGCGCTCGAACAAAACGAATTTTCCCATCATCTCGTATCGCTTCACGGGAGATTTAATAAAAACGGAAAATACATAAAACAACTCATCAACTAATCGTCGTGTTGGCATTAGAGCCCCCAACAGGAACGCTTAAATTAACTTTACATAAAGGGATCGACTCGAAGCGACGCCGACGCCAGGCGTCCCCGATAAGGGAGAGAATTCTTGGTCATTTGAGTTCCAGCCTTTCTACACAGAACTAATCTTAACAATCTCGAAGCTCACTCACGGATTCAATTAATATTTCGAGCATTACGCGCAGTTCTGGTTATTTCAATGATTACCTCGCTCGTTATTAACGCGCTATTAAAACCGCCTACCCGGGTCCTCTTCAAATATCCACGAAACTCCCCATATTTACATTTACATTGACCCGAAGTTTTGTGATTGCTCCGGCACGACAAACTCCGGAGAAACTCGTTAAACTTTCCTTGATAATAAACGTTTGTAACGATTGGGTAATCGTGGCTATGGTAACCTTTGATCAAAAACTCCACTATACTCACATGTATGCGACGGAATTGTATACAGTATGATAAAGAAAATATTGGATAAGCAAGAATTTTAATAGTTTCATTCCGGATAATCTAACTAGCTAGAGTTTTAATTTTTTTGTCGAGTCACTCGTGCTATATATAAGAATAATTAGAGAGTTTACCGTAATCAGAATCATCTGTGAAATCGTTATCCTTGCTGTCGGGTTCGGTATCGGTGAAGTTGCCTTCCGTATCCGAGACTTTCCACGGTGATCCGGTTTTTCTGTTGTCCAGGTTCTCCAGGAGATTGTTGTTTTTGCGGGAGGGCTCGTTTTCCTCGCCTTGGCACGTCGTTAGCTCCTCGTCGGCGGTCAGTTTGTCGTAGCCCTTTCGCAATGGACGGCTTTCTGTGGAAAATTTAACCGAATAACCGAAATGAACGAGACCGGGAATTAGAAAATACGTGGTTTTTTCCACAGAATACATTTTAAGCTTCCCCACTCTGTATAGAAGTTATAGATGAAAGTTCGCTCTCTAATGAATTTTGTATGGCATATTTCAAACAAGTATATAAAAATGGTTGAATTCCACCCTATTTCTGACGAATTCCTGTTAATGCGTCCGCAAAAAAAGGCTATATAAACGATTCAATTTTCTTTACGATCCCGTTTTAATTGAATTTCCATCGTGGAAATTGAATTTCCCTTCGACCGCAAAATCTCGTATACCTTTCTACCTTGAAATGAATTTTCCAATTTCCCCTTTTACGATATCTTGATAAGAACGAAAGCTGGGCAATATTGCAAAATACCCTTGGAAAAATATTTGAACAATTATTTATAGAAAATCTTTTGAAAGATAGTGAATGCATTATTCATGTTATTTTAACCACCCAGTAGAATGCAATTTGCATTCGGTGCGGAAAAATCCCCTTTCTCCTCGAACGGGCGATTTATTGACCAAACATTCCCCGATTCTCTCGCTTCTGCAATGAATATTATTATTATTCATGAGGCATATTCGTCTGCTCTCTAATAAACAAACGGTCTCGCCTTAATAGGTATTTTAATGAGGGTTTTTAAATCCGCCATCTTTTATTCAAATATTTCCCTTAAACTCCCCTCGAGCGTGCACCTGACACTCGAATATCGCTAAAATAAATTCCAAGCAAAAAACTTACCGGGACTAAATTGGTTTGATTTTCCGCTTAATTATGCTGTTGGGGTTGCGTTGAAATGGAATTTTCCCGTTACATTGTCGTGCTCTCAGTGTGATTCATGTAATTAAATTTCCAATCGAGTAGGTATTGAAATGTCAAAGTTATAATTTTTTGACAAGGTTGACACGTGAGGTTGATTGATTTTTTTTAAATTAGTAATTAAAGATAATACATAAGAAAAAAGTAATGTGTGATAAAAAAATATATATTCTTGTTAAAATTTTCTGGTTAATTGTTGGATAAAACTACAATTTCGACATGAGCACACCTCGTAAAACGTCAAATTTATAACATCTGTCAAGTTTGACATCCAAGGCCAACTGTTATTATCATATGTGAGAAAATTCGTGTAATAATCAAAATATCTCCTAAATTACGAGATTTACGAACATTTTCGATACTTCAAAAATTGTAGACAATAGTTTTCTACAGCGAACGAGATATACCGGAGGACTCAATCTGTCATAATCCTCGAATTGAAATATAAAAAAAATTATCGGCGCTAAAATTCGAGTACAAACGAAGAAAATTAATGAAACTCACCGACTCCATTCGCACCGGGATTGTTGTTGAGAAACCGCGTCCGCTGCTGCAGGATCCAGAACATGTCGACGGGACGCAGGACCGTGCAAAACTGCCGGTGTTCCCGTGTTCCCGTTCGGCCGGCCTGGGGGACTCGGGACGCGGAAAATTCGCCCTCTCCTCCGCTTTCCCGAGGCGCGAATGTCGCGAATTTTCGCCGAACCTGCGGGGGAAATATCCCCGACCAACGACGGATTACCGATTTTCCCCAACATTATATTATACTGTAATAATTGGACTGTAAACTCTAAACTTTTTATACAGATACGTGCAATTTTTCACGCAATTTGGTAGCATCATAACGAGAAACTTATTTTAGTTAAAAACAGTGTTGCCAATTTTGGTTTTTTTTAATCTAAGTGGAAATTATATTGCCTTTTTATTTTATAAGGGAAGTTTTCTTTGTTACACCAACATATTGCGTAGAAATTTGCACTTACCTATATATACCGTGCGTCCCAAATTAGCAAAAGGCAACAATTTCATTTTTATTATACAGGGTGGCCTAAAAATGGATTTTACAAACACCCTCTGTATATGGGTAAAAGTTTGTTTGCAATATGTAGAATTCTATGAGTTAAACAAAGAAAGGGTATTAAAATAACAGTGGTTATAGTGAGAAAGTTGCAATCACTTTTTCATAGTCTATATTGCAAACAAATATAATGGGACACCCTGTATACGTCGTGATAAAGCAACCAAACAATCGGTATTAATCTTTTTATTTTTCTTATAACTAAATTTATGTAGCTAATAGATACAAAATTTTCAAATCCTTAGTTAAACACAAACTAAATTACAATATAAAATTGATGTCCTTAATACAATACAATACTATTTATTCGGAATTAGGTATTCATTCGATATCACATTATGATCCTTTAGTTTAGTGTACTGAAACGTTTAGTGTTGAATTTGGTGACAAAAATGCGGGTGAAACGTTGGCGCGTTCGAGCGATCGAATTTCCCGGCTGTTCGTCCGTCGGGGAAAACCCGAAAGGAAGCAAATCGGTTCGAAATTTCCGACCAGATTGACAGAGAAAAGGAAAAAAAAGCAGCATCCGATCGGACGAGCGCGCTTCCAATTTATCATCGATTCGAAAACAAACACTAAATAGCAAAATAGACAAATCCCTGAATATATCTTGTGTAGAGCAGACTTAACGCAGACAGTTTGGTACATAAAAAAAATTAAAAAAAAAATCAATAATAATCGCCGGTCGAAAGGGTCGTTTACTGGTAATTTAACGTCTGTATGGATGGTAGGATTGAACAACTCCGTAACCGCTACCGCGTTGGGGTCCGTTTACGTAATCACCAGCTGCGGCTGAATAACTTCCTACAAGAGATTTGCACATAATGTATGACATTCGCCTGACAACCTACGGACGATTTTGCAATTTTAATACTGCATTAATTGTCGCCAGCGACTTGTAGCGCAACGTGTAAACCGCCCTTTAAGGCGCGGATAAAGGTATCAAGTAGCTAGAGAAAGTTACTAAATTTAGTTACTTGTATGGTGTGAACAACTTGATTTAGTACTTGTGCAAGTATTTAACTACAAGTTTACACCATACAAGTAACTAAATTTAGTTACTTGATACGTGTATTTGCACCTTTAGAGACGAGAATTAAACAGGGCGTTATTAATCAAGCGGGTATTAATGCTGTAAAATCATCCATATATTATACGTGGAATATTATTTGCATATTAAAAATAATCGGTGGTTTCGATGAAAGTAATTGCAGTCGTTTTGTTTTACTTACCCCCAAGTGAAAGGCCAGTGTTGCCAACTGTAAGGGAATTCGGGGTGTTTTTGTAAAATTAGCTTTATTAGAAATTGCTTTATTTTGAACAAATTCCCAATTAATTTTCAAAAATCAAAAAATAACATGAAAAATCCCACTTACTCTTTAAAAATAAAAAAAGATATAAAAAGATCACCCCATAGCAAAGCAAATGTACCTAAATTAAGACAATTTACGCATATACAAATTAATCGACATTACGTTGGCAACACTGTAAGGACTGCTAATTATGTAAATCCGCCCCGATCGAAAATTAAACAAAAAAACTCAAACACATCAATTACGATAAAGAGAACAAAAATTAGGTTGAGGAAAAAGTAGACGACAATTGTTTTCATGTGTTATATTTTCTCATATAGAGACGTGATAGGTACATTGTTTTGTAAGTATTTTTTTATTATTAACTAATAAACATCTTAATTGAAGCTAAATATATTTAATATAAACTACCCCATTACAAATGCACTACTAATATATATATAATATTTATATATTTATATATATTTTTTCTTAAAACAGTTATTTTCTGAACTAGGTATTTATTCATAACAATTATGTACTACTAAAAATTAATAAAAAAAAGACCACGACAACCTTTTACCATAAAATGTGTGTTTTTTTTCCTTCTTATCTTAGTTTAAACAGGTTTTGAGATTGTTCGCAAACATGCAGTGGTAAGAGAATTATCTAAAGAGCATAAAGATGAAGTCAAAGGAGGGACAAGTTATGCGATTTAACACTTATTTAATAAATAACACGTTTCTTCAATTAACTATCAGACTTAAGAATTAGAAAACAATTCAACGCACACAAGTCACACTCATATATTTAATATACAGTTTTTCATTTTTTTTAAGTTGTTATTACGTTCAAAAGCATATATCGGCTGAAATCTTACAGTTATAATTAACATAATACAAAATAATATCTTTTCTTTTGAGCAACGAATACTTTACAAAAAAAAATTAAATTAAAAAAAATAGGAGGTTTGTTTGGTGTTTTGAGGAAACACGTACTAATTTAGCGCCTAATTTAAAAATTATGCTAGAAATTATGAAAATATCTTACGTAAACAACTATTTTACTAGATTAAAAACCACATGAGACATTGCACTATATATAAAGGCCCTAGGTTTATTTTATTTATGATGTTTCTTTATTGTACATTTACTTTTTTTTCGTATTTAATTTAAAAACTTATTCTGTACCTGTACATCAGTCGAATTGTTCTAATTTTAATTCTATTTAAATTTAATTAATTACACTAACAATTCAATTAACTATAGCGGTAATGTAGTTAAATATAAAATACGAGTTTTTTATAAATAATTTCCATATCGTTAATTTGTAGATTTATTTTGTATTGATGTAATGTCTAAAAACTACCCGGAAATAAATACAATTCAATTAACGGCGGTAAATGTATATTAATATATTCGTGTGTACAATATGAAAACAGCTATTACCTGTCGTATAGATATAGAATCATCTACATACTCTCTCAATGAAAATCTCTATAACACGCCCCAACTTCTAACTAACCCGGAGGAACGAAAACGAAACGATTTTTCGTGGGACTCGAAACATTCGACCATTTTAACTACTAACATTGAATAAAAAGGAAATTATAGGAACACTAGATCACGGTTATTAATTATGTGACAGATGACAGATATGACATTTGCTTCGAAAAAGATGAAAATTATTGGATAAATGCAAATTAAAATAAAAAACTTCTACGTATGTTACATATTATTTAACTTTGAGCTGTTTTAAATTTGAAAATTAAAGAAAGTGTATCATAAAGCCTCTTATGATCTAGTCGCAGAGCCCTTTGACATGTGACATTTAACCACAGAACAATATCCTTTTTATTCAATCGATCGGTGTAATTCGTAAAATGAATTAGGGATCAAAGTTGTAGAAAAAATTTTGATTTGATTTATCCGGCTAATCGAACGGTACATATACCACTATCACCCTGTATTACAGCAGTATAATATATTATGTATCAAGCATTTAGATTAAATACGTTAGTATCCCATCGAACGCGTTTCTAAGTAATACCTTGTACTCTTCCTTGTTTTTTTTTTACTAAAATTAAACAATAATGTAGAGTTTTTAAATGCAAAGTTAATAGTGAGCAGTTTAATTAGATAGTGTAGACGATTCATATTTTTTTAATATAATATTTATATACACAGCAAAACTCTCTCCTACCACGTAAGAAAAAAGAATAAATATAGTCCTAACAACCTTTTTTATTAGACCCGTAATATAGGTATTTATCATTAATATTTAAAACTCGACTACCTATCGACTACATCAATTACTTCTAATAAATAATCGTGGTGATTTTATATTTTTTCAAGACATTATATTTTTTTTGTAAATTCATGTAATATATGCCTAGGAAAGGTTACTATCAATTCAAAAATTTACAAAAGCAAAAAATCAACCAGTCCAATATTACAAATACCTCCAATATATCGAATAATTTTACTAATTTGTACTTTTTTATGTTTTCAAATACACGTATATAATAAATTCCTATCGAATTTCGAAAAAATCTAAATTAACCCTACGGCAATTAGGCACCGGCATTTATTAGAATCAAACGCACGAAATTTTCACTTCTGTAAATTAATCAATCAATAATACTCGATTTATTATTTTTTTTTTCGTCGATTTGCCATCCAAATCGATCGATTCGCTCGATAAAATTCAGTTTAGGACTACGTCAGAGATGCCGATCAACGCGTTAATTACCAAATTCACGTCCCTCCGTTCGAAATCGATAAATCGAATCGATCTTCGGAACTTTCAATATTCGCCCGCGCTAGTCTCGAAATTTGAATTAACCTGTTAAAAAAATCACGCGGATCAAGCCGTTGAGAAACCCAAATCGTGGAAGACGTACTGATGAGAAAATTAATAATAGATAATTCGTGAAGCGTAAAAAAAATGAACGAGGGGATTTCGATTGAAAAATAAAAATGATGAATCTAGCATTCGGTGAAATGGATAATTGAAGGCGCAAGTTTAAAATGCTTTTGTTTGCTATAATACAATTCGATTTAGTTTATGTTTTGTTTGCTTTGTCAATTAATTATCATTATAATTATGTTTAAACTATCATTATAATAATTAAAGACCGAATTCATATAATATTTCGTTTTGTTTAACTCCTAGCGATTGGTCTGTCAACCAAAGATTAACTTTGATTCGATATTTAAAAATGAAAAAAAAATATCTATGATACTATAAGAACATTGCTTAAAATAGATTGTCACACTCAAAAAAGTTTATGTAAAGATAGTTATAAAAAAAAAACATCAATTACCATGTGATTAGATAGACAGACAAGCGTACAGACAGACAGAATATTTTCTTTATACACTAAAATATAAATTTTCCTCGATTTTAAAGTTACTGTTTAAACCTAGCTTAACTCTCGAAAAAACATTTTGCCTCCTTTGGATCAGTAAAGTTATCAGTTTTAATTTAATTAATCAATATAAATGACGAAACGTGACCGCGATTCAACGTTAAATTTAAATTTATTGCTACGATCTGACGCTAATCTTTTAACTACAATGGCATTTTTAATGACCCTGCTTTACCGATACACCTACATTTATTCGGAATTGTTTCGCATTAATCCGTCACGTTTCGTCAAATTTCCACATTTTCTTGTTTAATAGTTAATTTAATTCGTAAATCACAACCGTTGTCCACTTAATATAGTCTTAATCTAGTTATGATTTAGTCTTTCTTTTAATTACTCTAAAAATATGATAATTGATAATAAATAAATTTGTATAATAAAAAAAATGATAAAATTAACCTGTACAAATAAACAATCAAGACATTTAATTCGAGCGCTCGCCCTCGAAGACTCACTATATCATCATTTCGGTGATTTGTTTGTTTCCATCATTCCAAAGACGCCGATCCAACCCGGATATCCGACTAAATGTACTTAAATATTTATATCACAGATGATATTTATACCTAAAGTAATTCCACTAAATTTCCAAACCGCCCTATCGCTTAGTGAAACCGTTTTTCAAAATACAAAGTTAATAAACCCGCTCGAGTTTGTTGTTCAAATCCGCAGACCGGAGCATTTCACTGTCCTAATCTGCGGATCCGAGCGGACGAGAATGTTTGATACCGTTCCAAGCGCTTCGAGCCCTTAAAATAAACGACTTAATTTACCCTTAACAGTGCGATCGTAGAAAATTATATTGTACGTTAAGCGTCACTTAAATTGCATACGGTCCGTGTAATATTACCCTACGATTTAAACGTAAAACGGACGCGCCCGAATCGGATCGGCGGGAATGATGAAGTTTTTCGAAAAATTTTGAACATACGCCTTCAAATACATTCGTTTCAGATATGAGAGAAAAACAACGAAAGAATTCCATTTCGGAGTAGCGATCGCGTGCGTAATGGACGAAAGTAATAACAAAAAAAAAAATGTATGTAGAAGCCAATCCCGATACCTACAAAACCGGTCGAGTATGCTCGCGAAACGGACAACAAAGATAAATGTTCAGTTGTTATCGATTCCTTTGATACCCAATTCCCGGACACACTGTATAAATCATCGTTAATTAATCAAACTCGCCGACAAAAAAGCGGAATTTTACCAGAAAAAAAAAGAGAAATGTAATATCGCTTTCGCAATGAACCCCTTTTGTCGGCGAATGAATTCATCATAGGCATTTCAACACCGCATATGTTCACTCAAAAATTTAATATGATTATCGGAACTTAAGATTAGTAAATCCTTAAAACAAATTAGACTGTCTGCCGGTAAGACTAAAAGTTAATAACTTAGATAAAAATAAGTATCGTTTATATGTATGTACAAACTAGACCACTTATAATTTGATACATCGTATAGGAAAAAAAACAGACTAGAGAACAACGAACTTACATAAAAAAAAGAAAGCATCTCAATTATCCGACTATTTTGTAGAATACAATAAATTAATACGAGAAAAATTCATTACAACCTATTGTAAATGCATATTTGACCTAACTTTAAGATGAAATACTTACTGACTAAAAAAAAAAAAACAAAATGTAGTAATCACAATAATTGCCAAGTATAAAATAAAATTAACGACTACCATGCAGACATTCTAATATAACCGTATCGAAAGAACAAAAAACTTGTGAGGTAAAAATTTCGATTTTATATACTATTTTTAAATATATTAAATTTATAACAAGTTGAGCGATGCTTAAAATTAGTCAACAGTTCTGTCTGTCTGATATAGGACGATATGAATCTTCCAATAAAAAAAACACAGAGTCTGCTATTATCTCTTCAATGGACTACGAAAAACATCTCAACTTTCAATGGAACGAGTAGTAACTGCTGCTTTTACGAAAAACGTGTCAATTTGTTGAGAATTTTATTGTCAATTACAAGTAATTAATTCGATTTATTTGTTTCATTATACTAGAGTTAGATGTTATTTTTAGTCCAATTTTTTCGATTCGTGTTCAGAATTAAACTAGTCGATTTAAAAAAAAATTATTAAGTAATAATAAAATGAGAAAAAAAAAATTAAACAAAAAAAATAATATAGTTTGTCCGGGCGGCGAAGTCGCGGACACATCAAAAACTACAACAGTGATGCTAAAACTAACAGATGGTGAAGATGCCGGTGAATCAATCATTTTGTGTCTGTCTAATCAGAGTAATTGAGTTTGGCGGGAGTGACCAGTCCGGCTGCTCTCTTCATGTTTATCAAGCCAACACGTTTCCAACTGTTACAACATACACCCATATTATTTAAGTTGTCGACACGCTTCAATGCGACCCCCGCCGGCGGTTCCTCGTACGCCGCGACGGCGGCGGCGGCCGCCCCCGCGGCGTCGAAGTAAATGCGCACGTTTTTCGGCGCGCACGCGCCCAAAGGAACGCGAGCGGGAGTCGCATTGGCCGCGTAGAGGAGATTATCAAAAGGTTGTCAAGAACTGGGCCACTCTTTAAAATCATTGAAATGTTTAGCACCTGGATTTGGCGGCTGCGACGAGTATCCTCCAATTTGCGAGCCGGCGTCGCTGCCGTACGACCGGGGCGGAGCGCCGTAGCCCGCTTCCGTCGAATACGAGCCGTAGCCGGCGTAATTGTAGTCGGAGCCCGGTTTGCTGTTCGTCCCCGACGAGGACATGTTGGGCGGGCCGCTCGGCGTGCCCGGGCCACCCGGGCCCGACTGGCCCCTCGAATACATATCGCCAGCTATGTAACCTAAAAATTAAAAACAAAACGACAAAATTACCATTAACCCATCTTCCCTTCGGGCCGAGGTCCTTGAGATACAGTGGCGCACTTATTCAAACAAATACATTGTTTGATCTACAATGTAATGATCTACATGCTTTACTACAGTTATACATCAACTTATAACAAAAAGGCAATGTTTCTAAATTAATCGTAACTTTGTTGGCAAAATCTATGCCGGAATTACAGGTTTCTAGAATTGATTAACATTTCAATACTACACCAGTGCCGTAGTCGCAGTATCTATCGTCACTACCGAATGGTACGCGGTGAAATTAACAGATAAATTCAACTATTATTTACTACGCCTCGTAGAATTCTTATAAAACTCTTGTGTACGCCACTGGTAAAGTTTCAAGCCGAATTTAAAACTATACTGTACCGAGGACTGTTCGATCTAACTATTGCAAAATGGAAATAACTCGCGAATATGCAAAATTGAAAGCATTATGTAAAAGTTATTATCCTTAAATTACAAGATCTATCTCCCGAAGTGACGTTACAAAGGGAATTACACAGGCATTTATGAGATTGAACAATCCTCGTGAAATGGAACTATTGCATTATGTTTGTTCTACTGTATCAATTTGTTTTCTCGAATGGGAATCATTATCTTATAGAGTTTCCAAAGTTAATTGAATATGATACGAAAATATTAGCCGAATTAATTCCTGAAATTCCTCAGAAAACTATAAAATACGTAGCCATATGATAGAATTCTTTTTGGAAATATGGAAGTTTGGAATATACTAAATTTTATGAGTAACAGTTGTTAAAATGAAAAATCCCACAATATGACTAAGATGCATCAACCTGTACATTCAATGGACTTTGGAGAGATTATATACCGTAAAAGAAACCTGTCCAAACTAAAGAAAAATGACCCTAGGCTGTAATAATGCAATAACTCCTTTCGCGACCGACAATAGCGCATAGCGGGACCCGATTGTCATTTAGAACGTTTTGAAAAACTGTTTTTTTTTTGGGGGATTGTCATTGTCGTTTACCTGAGGGACCGGTCGAAGCGCTGTTTTGAGGCGGCATGCTCCAGCTACTCCAATTCGCCGCTCCGCTACCTGCATTGGAACCTGAATTAAAATTTATTGTCACAACGATATAGCCTCTGCAACGCGTTAACAGCTTTAGAAGCTCATTAGTGATTTTACGCGGTGTGCATTTCGAAACTGAGGGTGTTAGTTCGCCTCAAAGCGTACCGAGAGAGCGCAGAGAACACTGATAACGAAGCCGGTAATTTTTCGTTTTTTGAGTCTCCCGATGCTAAAGCTAGAAGGACCTATATTGATTCGAATATGTATCGTTATTTTGAGTATAAATAGTAAACAAGGTTATGTAGATTTGGTACTGCTAGCTTTAAGGAGACAATTGTTGCTTTCCAATAAAGTTCTTAAAAATTCTAATGTTTGGAAAAATGAAAGGAAATGCAATTTATTTCGAACAAATATGAAGAGTTTAGAGAAAAAATGTTTTCTGCTTGGGTAATACTAAAATGTTTACAATGAAACGAAATTAGTGACCTATTGCAGATATTTCATGTCGGCCTCATTTTGACTGTGCTTATTCACCTGTGTCGAATAATACAGCTTCGATAGGGCCTAAAGACTAATAAAAAAATTACAAACATCAAAATAGTCGAATCGGTACCGGTTGAGCACCTGCTTCTACAGCAAAATATCATTCGCTAATTATCTCTTAAAGTATCATGCCAAGGTCGTCGATTTTTTCGACATTGCAATAAACAACACCATCGTGTGATAACATTTAAAAAAACAAGGAAATATATTAAAGTGTTAATCAACCTAGTTTATCTGTATATATATTACAATCGAAACGATTACAATTGTGTACAGTGCGTTCGTAGGGTACGGAATATTTAAATAAATTCCATTTTAGTCGTAGACTATTTTTTAAGAAAATTGCTTAGGTATAACAAACATTCGATTTTTCTTAAAACACCAATCGTTCGACTAAAACCAATCTTACTCGGTACTCCACGTACAACACCATACAGCATAAAAAAAAATATGTAAAGAAAACAAAAAGAAAAAAAAAACATACCATACTCACCATATGAGCCGTATCCCTGCTGCTGCGGCGGCCCGCCGTAGTTGTTGCCCCATTGGGGCGGCGGGCCCTGCGGCGCCGGCGGCGCTCCCCATCCTTGGTAGGAACCGGGGCCGGAGGGCGTGCCGTAGCCGGCGTAGCTCTGCTGTTGCGGCGACGTGCCCCAGCCCTGGTAGCTCTGCATCATGTTCGGCCCCATCGGCGCGCCCAAGTTCATCGGCGGCCCGCCCATCTGCCCGTTGGGGCCCTGCATCATGCCCATCGGCGCCTGCGGCGGGCCCCAGGCCGACGCCGGATCGCCGCCCATCTTGTTGCCGCCGGACCCGTCGCGCGGCTCCGCTTTCTTTATTTCGACCTAAGCGAAACGACGGAATAATTCCACAATTATGAACAAAAAAAAATTAACCTTGAAAATTATACGTTAAAATCTAATGAGGGCTACTTGTTGTTTAATTAGCGAGATTAATTGGAATTATAAAAAAAAATGTTTTCTACTTGGGTTGTACTAAAATGTTTATCGATTATCTAAACAATTAGTGACCTATTGCAGAATATTTTGATATCGACCCCATTATGACTACACGAAATTATTAGATTAATTTGTATAGCTTCGATAGGGGTCGGTTTAATTGAGTTATTTTATTCAAAAATGTATCTTTATTAATAAATGAAGGTTATTTCAATGCACTTGTAACGGTAAAAATAATTTGCGCACCACAAGCTAGTGTTTGCGTATTTACTTATATCGTTAAAAACCAATTACTGTGGCCGCTCTTATAATTGTAACCTGTTGGAGAAATTTTCGAAATTTCCAGAAACTCACCTGTTTGCCATTTAAATTAACAAAATGCTCAGAAACGCATCTATCGACTGCCTCTTCGTCTTCGAACGATAAGAATCCAAATCCTAAAACAAGACGTACGTTTTTTTTTGTGCCGGCTAAACTCTATGATAAAACGATCAAATGCATCTCAAAGACGACTAATGTACCTCTAGATTTCTTCTTCTCCTGATCGTACATAATAACAACCTCCATGACTTTTCCGAACCGCGTGAAGAAACTCCTCAGGTCCGTTTCGGTCACGTTCGACGGCAAACCGCCCAAAAACACCTTCGGATATCCGCCGCCCTTCTTCGGCTTCTGCAACGTTCTCGGATTGCACGGTTTCGGATCGATCGTTCTAAATCAAACACAAAATCGTTCAATCGATGCTTTCATCGCAATCGAATCGATCCCAACGTACCTGCCGTCGAGCGTGTGGGGCCCGTTCTGCAAAACCACGTTCACGTTGGCGGGATCGGCGAACGTGACGAATCCGAATCCCCTCGATCTGCCGGACTCCGCGTTTTTCATCACCACGCAATCGATCACCTCCCCGTAGCGGGAGAAGTACCTCTGCAGGTTATCCTGCGTCGTCTCCCAGGATAATCCTCCAACAAAGAGCTTGCTGAAAGTCGCAGGGTTTATTTTAGCGGAATAATTTTATACGATACTGTATTGAACATGTTCTATGTACGGTGGCTTTAAAGTCAGTTAAATATGATTACGTTTTGATCTAGAAGGTGCTTGGTAACTGTTTGAGGAGACTCATTTAGTACAGTTATGGTGAAACAAAATTTTGAAAGTGAAAATAGGAAGGCTATAGGCTATACTTGATAACTTTGTACATTTCTATTATTCCTCTTTTTAATCAAACACAATAGAAACCTCTACAGATTGTATACTATACATTATCCATCCTAAATTGACAAATAAACAATTACTCCTCAAACGACCAAACTTATTTTCATAAAATAAAAAAAACATCAATTTTTAATAGTCTCCCAATCCGTTTCGAAACAAACTGAATTTTACACAATAAAAAAAAAATATGAAATATTCCCATCGACCACGTTTTTTCTTATCTCCTCGCTTTCGAAAATATTTCTCACGATAACGGAGTTTGGAAGTCCGGGGATAGCGATAACGCCGGGCATTTTTTAATATCCACGAGGAAAATTCGCTTCCATTGTTCGGGATAATTCCAAAACGTAGCCCGTCAAAATGAAGGGATGTGACAGGATATAACCTAAATTTACGAACGGGAGCGGATTTGGGGAATATAAAAACATATTTTCGAATGTAATCGGTGTGTATTCGGACGGTTTATGAAGCGGTTTTAGCTGATGATTGTTTAATAGATTATATTAGGTATATAGGTAGATTTCGGGGTCGGTGAACGCTACTATCAAATCCTCTCGATGGAGGGGAAATTAGTGGATATTTTACGTATAAAATAACGTTTTGTAGCATTTCGACTCGACGGGTAGCTAAAAAACCCGCAAACGTATGGTAAATCTCGAAAATCGCACGCTGTGCGTGACCTAATAATCGTAAAGTTAATTGAAAAAAAAAATAGTTCGTAAATACCCCTTCTCGTCATCGTCCATAATCTCTTGTTTGAGTCGCAACATTCGCATGCTATTTTTTAACGCGGTTTTTCTAACACTTTTGTTAATTTTTATTCCAACCCAGCCGGTCACACTCGCCACACACCAACTACAAGCTCACCATACTACAATGGCAGCTTCGGAACTTCCGTCAAATTTACGTAAACGTGATTTTAAGCGCCACCGCTGCGCTTGCCGTTTGAAATGAAATTTATTTCGCCGTGCATACGTACCCGTACTCGTACTCTTCCATTACAAATTAAGACTTCTTACACTAAACTTAAAATTAATTTAAATCTAACGTTAAGAACTATCCTAATTAACAACTACGATAGGAATACAATACACACAAGCATGATGACATCTAAATCGTGGAAGGGGATAGGGGAAGGGACAGCCATTTTGGAAGTTGACAGCGGCGTTGCCACGCGTCAGCTCTTTGCAGTATCGGGTTTACTCTTTCTAACGCATCGGTTTTTTCGTCGACTTCCTTGTTCAATTATTGACGAGCAGTTCGAACTGACAGTGGTGGCAGATGACACTGCGCGTCAAATTGGTTTTGAAATTATCCGATGGCGAAATAACATGAAATGACGATTCGCTTTATGATAAAAAAATTAATTGCACCATTTAATTTTTGATAAATATGTAAAAGTATTCGATGCGCGCGTAAATTGCGCGAATTATCTCGCCAACGACTTAATGTCAACGCCAACTGTCAACGTCAGTGTCATTGAAGATGGCGAAGTAGTAGGTTTCTCATTACAACGTTTATGGAAAAATGAATGAATTTCAATATATTTAAACAACAGTAAGCCCGGGAACGAATCAAAATTGAAAACATGATGGACTGCGAAAAGGAGGAAGCCACCAACTTGGTATGTACACGCGGCATCTACCGAATTAACCAATTTCAACTAGGTCAATTATTGATTTAAGTTCAAATAAAACTAACATTTCAGCAAAAAGAATTCGAATGGGTGTTAAACCAAGAAGTGCACAAAGGCCTCGAGCAAATCCACCAAATTCTAGTGGTATGTACACGTCGATCTATTAGAAACGCGTTAAAATGATCGTTTTAGGAATGTGCCAGGAGGTTTCCAGTCGCTTTATACGGTCACGACAATTCGGCAAAGCAGGATAAATTCGTTCTTTCGGTACCAGCGGACCAACTGAAATGTGTAGTTACACTCACAGGAGACAGTATTACTCATGCAGTAAGTAATTCGATTCAATCTCCTACACAACAACCCAGCAATTTAAATAACGAGGCGTGATTTGTAACTAATATGTTTTAAAATGATTAGGTAATGGAAATATTATTGAGCTTTAAACTTAATGGTTCCAATTAGTCTCGTGTATTAAATACTATGAACATAAATAAGAGTAGATTCTTCGAATGATTCGTATCTATCATAATTATAGTTGAATTAGTTTTTAATTAATAATACCATTTTTAGGACATTAATTTTAAAGTTGTGAGGCAAACTGCTACGACAATGGTTCGTACGACTATTCAAAGCGAATACCCTTGGAAATTGCAACAAGTTCAAGACGCCGCAAATCATTTACAACAAGCCATTTATCATATCGATGACGTAGGAAAACACTATAAATTTAAGTGAGTATGATCAATTGAATTTATAAGTAGGTGACATTATCCTTGTGTATTAAAAAAAAGCCACTAAATCTGATTGTGTTCTAAAAACTTAAACTTTGCCTCATAGTAAATATAGTTAATTAATAAGTTGATTGAAATTACTTTTTTGTTATTGCAAATTTGGTTTGTGAAGGTTATTGTTATTTTATTGGAAGAACCAAATTGTTTACATAGAAATTCTATTGTTTACAATATCAATTAAATATCGAATTTTATTGATGTGGTATTAATTTAAAAAATATTATAATATTAGTATAATAAACGAGAATAATAGCGAGATTTAAAAATCGTTTCTAAAATTAGTTTTATTTTCCAGATCTTCAGATGAAGTGTTGCATGTGCTAGGCAACATTTTGGGTAGCTTACAAAGGGGTCGAACTAGTCTCATTGTACCTAGAAAGAAGACAATCTATGATCTACTTAAAAGTCGCAATATGGTAAGAACTTCCTTATCTATTAACAAATAATAAATCATTTCAGACGGCACAATAAACTTTTTTTTATTGCTTGTGTTTGTTCAATTTTAATCTGGTTTTTTTAGAAATCCCTTTCGCCTCCGCTGGCCGAGGATCTAGCAATAAGTTTTTACATTCAGAGCCACAAATTGGTGTTTGTGATGTACCATTTGATGAATAACCAAGGCGTGATGATAACGGATCCAACGCCTGCAGAATGTTCTGTGCCCTGGCTGAACGAAGTATTAGTACTATTTACAGTTGGATTGCAGCTATGCCAACAACTAAAAGATAAGGTACTGTTTGTTGTTTGTATGTAAATATAAGAATTGTTTTATTTTTGTATTATTTTTTTTTAGATTTGTGTTTTTTCACAATACAAGGATTTTACTGTAGGTTCGAGATCCTCTAGTCCTGTTCAGTGATAGTTTTCATTCGAATAAATGAGGCAGTTCATTTGCACACAGTACCATACAAGGTGTTCCACGACGAGTGGGATATGAAATATGTTCCATTTCAAATAACAAAGTTGATGCCTACCTTAAAATATATTTAAGAGGTGCATAAAGTATACCAAATTTTACTTAAATCGAATAAGTAGTTTTTTAAATACAGATAGTTTTAACTCGTCGTGGGACACCCTGTATTATTATAATAAATTAATAATTGATATAGTCAATTTTATCGTGTTTGACAGATGTATTATATATTGTAAGTGTTATTAAATGTATATTTTAGGGAAGATCGGTAGATTTGTATTGTTTATTACAAAAATCCTTATCCCAAAGAAACTAGAAATTTGCTTATAAAGTTATATTTAATTTAAGGATTTTTTGACATTTGACGTTTCTTGGCCTTCTTTTATTCAAATATTAAGCTCAACAAACTGAAGGTAGCAATATGTGCATTCTCAAAAAGAAGAAGAGTATTTTCAATTATTGACGTTTATCAACGGTTATTTTCTTGAAATTTTCATCCATCGAAAGAAAAGTAATTTGTTTAAGTTTAATTTTGTTGCAACTGATCGGAACTTGTCGTCCTTTATTACCGAAACATGGGTATTTATTATTATTGAGTTGTGCTTTGTGAAATTATTAAAAACTCTTATTTTTTATGCAGATAATCAAGTAGAAGATCTTCTGGAGGAAGTAATTTCTTACAGACAAACTGTTCCTAAATGTTGCGATGAACTTACCAGGCAAGACACAGCTGCGCTGATGCGCGTTTTAAGAAATATAAAAATCGATTTGACTGTCAAGGTTCCTCGAATCCAAGATAATAACGAGTCGAAGTCTTCGCAAAATCAAATGGAAGTAAGTATATTTAACTTCCTACCTCTTTTTTAGCATCATTTTCTTAAGTTATCCAAAATTTGATTGAATACCTAACGTTTTATTTCATTCCCGAAGAACTTTTCCTGTTCGATTTATTGTGTTCTCACGATTCCTATTTCTACCCAAATCCCAAGATTAATTTTAGATTATATTTTATCATATATCAATATTTTTAGATAGATGGTTAGACCGAGGGCAGTTCAGTGGGGATTCATATAGTTTCATACAATAAAGTAATACATCGTCATATTGTAATATTTTAATGTTACTCAATTACTTCAGATTTTTTATATTGTACATAATTTAATACATTTTTAAGTAATTTTAGTTCAGGTAGAGTCTCCTGGAAAATGTAGGTAAATTATAGACGTTTAAAATCAATTGTGGAATGAATACTTACTATAAATAATGGAATCAGCTTATCACAATCTACATCTCGTAATAATATGGTTAATATGAACAGTATTTTTCTCTAAAATAAAAAATGTAAATATTTAACTTGAACAAAAAAACTAATTTAATTTACCCTAAGAATGACTTCATTGATAAAAATCATTTTTATTCGTTCCTTAGGCAAGAACAGTTTCTTTGTACTAATGGCGTTCCTTTTGTTAATTTCAATTCCCAATCCTTCGACTATTAATAAACTTTCTGCGAAGAAAACTTGTCATTAGAACATGTATATTTAATACATTTAATTACAAATACCTACCCTCGATAGTTGCAGTACAAATCGAATATGAACATATAATGGTAAAAAACAATATTCCTACTATTAATTCAATTCTAACTAAATTATATTCTAACAGAACGAGAGCAATAATGGCAGTGGCAAATAAGAAAATAGATTGTTTGTATAAACCTCTTTGGTCAGACAGTATTGATATTTGTTTACACGTCGATACTTCGTTCATGTACAGTCTTAATTTGTTACCATTTACATCTCTAAAATTCGCATACTTTTCGTTCAAATGTCCTTTATCCATTACTTGACATGGTTTTATCAGCAAAATGCTAAATTTTGATAGAGATAGATTGTAACATAAATTTGAACTATCTGGAGGTTATGTTTACTTCATTGTGACTGTTACATTGTAAGTCTAGCACCCTTTGTTTTAATTAAATAATCGTTTGAAAAAGAAGAATTTTATAATGACATTTGACTTTGAAATTTAACGTCAAATTGAAAAATGCCGTTACTTTTTTAGTTCTTATTTTTTTGTTATGATTCTGCAATTTGGTTAAGTTAAAAATATGAAACATTTAACTCTTTAAATATTTATTGATAAATTTCACGGCGGTTGAAGATAGTATTATCATGGTGAGCCCTGAAACGGATTCGAAAAACATCAAATTGTGCTTGAAAAGAAACCTTTTGAACAATTCCGAATTCTTCGGCCACTCCAGCGAAAGAAATCAAATAGAAGGTCTAATAGAGAGAACGATTAAATTCGGAGAATCAAATTCTGCTCTCATAATAGGTCCCAGAAGTTCCGGTAAAACGACAGTAAGTTGGGTAAATATTTTACAAGAGCTCGAAAAATTTAACGTTCTACATTTCAGCTTATTAATGAGATAATCGACAATTTGCAACGCAAAAAGTCGTTGGAGAAAGATTCGATTTTGGTGAGATTGAACGGATTGATTCACACGGACGATAAGCTATCCTTAAAAGGCATTACTTACCAAATGCAATTGGAAAACGTAGTGGACGGAAAAGTATTTGGAACGTTCGCAGAGAATTTATCCTTCCTTTTGGCGTGTTTGCGTACGGGCGACAAGCGCTCATCGAAAAGCGTGATTTTTATATTGGAGGAATTCGATTTGTTCTGTTTCCATCACAATCAAACGCTTTTATACAATCTATTCGATGTCTCCCAATCCGCCCAAGCTCCCATTTGCGTATTAGGTAAACAAAGATAAATGTTAATGAATCGATTAATAAAGTTAATAATTGCAGGTGTTACTTGTCGCCTTGATGTTATCGAGCTGCTGGAAAAACGAGTGAAATCGAGATTTTCCCACCGGCAGTTCTTTTTACTGCCTGATAATTCATTGGATTCCGCTTTGAAGAGAATTCAAAACTATTTGACCGTCCGTCAAAAGCCCGATTGCAAAATCTCATCGAGTGCACAAAACAAATGGAATGCATCCGTTAAAGCATTATTAGGTGATAAGAAAGTTGTTAACGTTATTCAAAGACTGATAGATATAGATGTAAGCGAAAGAGCACTGAAAATTTTTCTGGTAATTACAGAAATCGTAGTCTAATTTATTCCTAATTTTCGTCTTTTTTTCAGTTCAATATCGTTTGTAAAATGAAGGAAGTTGGTTTGTCAGTGAACATGTTTCAAAATCAGCTGAGTGAATTCGAAACCGATGAAGTGGTGCTCACTCTACAGGATCTCACGGTGCTGGAACTTTGCCTTTTGATCTCCATGAAGCACCATTACGAGATATACGAAGGGCAATCGATGAATTTCGAAATGGTGTTTGCCAGATACATGAAATTCGTGAAAACCAATTCGAACTTGCTGAGCGTTCCCAAATCGGTAGTGATGAAGGCTTGGGAGCATTTGGAGGTAAACGATTCTCGATTTATTAGTACATTGGTTGTTTATTTCTTGAAATTGTAGTACCTGCAGTTGATTTCGATGGTTAGCGGAGGGCAAACAAAGACTCAAAAAGAATACCGGTTTTTTAATCTGCTCGTTATGCCGTCGCAAATAAACGAGGCGGTGAAGAAAACGCAGGATTTGCCGACGGAAGTGGTACAGTGGGCGATTTCATCGTACACATAAACTTTTTTTACTTAATATATTTCAACATAAAAAAACTATACAGTCTAACAATTTCAACTAAAGAAATACACCGACTTCAAAACTTGGTTTATATCGAAATCGCCCGTCTTCGGGAGTTGCAGTAGTATTCTATTCAATTTCTTTTTCGTCAAGTCTATCACAGATCCGTCTTCGGAAATTTCACTGCAAATGGAAATTTTATTAATGAAATTATTATGTTAGTTATCGTTTGCTTACCTTTGGTCGTAGCTAAATTTTTCGAACAAAAAATTCGAAAGCTCCTCCAATATGGGCTCGGAATGAAGAGCAACGAATTGTTCTCTGCAAATCTAGCAACAAAGTTTATTATGAATAAATTACGGTGATTATAGGACAACTTACTTTATTCATAATATGCACAGTGGAAGGATGTGTCCAATAACAATCGTGCACGGAAACAAAGGTAATACCGGCCCTTTCGCAATGCAGTGAAGTAAGCATCATATGACTAGAGTCCAAAGAATGAATGAAATTCGGAGGAAACGCGTTTTTTTGTTTCATTACATTCGGTTTTCTAAAAAAAAAAAACAATCACGTACAAAAGGTAAAGGATATTTGTTAGCGTCTTACTCGTATCTATCTATGGCATAAGAATCAAAAGCTGAACCAGTAGTGGTTTTCCTATATTTAAAATACGGCTGAACAATCGGCAGACCCAAAGGAGTTACCCATTCCACGTGCTTCAGTCCGACAGAGGATATTAACCTAGCGCATTCCGTAAACCAGTCTTGTATTTCTCTCGTCGAAGTAAACATTGTTCGCAAAGAATCGAACGTTCTACCTGCACGGAATATTACTCGTTAAAAAAAACCACAATTGCGCGAGAACTCTCTCACCTGTGAGATAAGCCGAAGCCGACCAAACCAAATCCTTCGGGAAATCATCGATATCCTTCAACTGACGCGCTATTTGAAGTTTAGCCCCGTATCGAGTGACTCCGTACACCGTCGTCATGATCGTCTGCTTGATCACCTTCCTTTTTATGAAACCCTCCAACGCTTTAGCAATCTTAAAAACAAATCCACATGTACCATCGTATCGACCGGTAGCCTTTCCGACTTACATCGTTGCCGTTCCGCGCGTCCTCGTCCCTCTGTTTCTCCACCAAACTCACCACGGCGCTGTAGACGTCCTGCGGCACCTCCGACGGCGCCAAGTTCACGCTGTAAGCGCCGCCCGCGTCCCTGCCGAGCGCCGCGTAGTGCTGCAAACCGTTGCAGCTGCCGTCCTGGTGGATGGGAAAGTGCGATCGGTAATTCTCCGGGTCCCCGGATCGCACCACGTCGGCGATTTCCATGCAACAGGCCAGCGTCTGCCACGGCTCGTCCGAATCCGCCCACCAACGTTGCCCCGTCAGCGGCCTGTCCGCCGAATCGAAGATCAAATGGAGGATTTCATCGGCGTACTCCAACCTAAAATGGATATGTAGAACTGTCTAGAACAATCTAGGATGCTCCAGAATCGTTTAGAACACTCTAAAACCATTTAGAACTCCTCAGAATCCCTTCAGAACTGTCTAAGATCGCGGTCTTTCATCAAGAACCATTCACCTTACCCACATATACTAAACTAAAGTGTTACTAATTACCTCTTTTGTACGGATTCCATTTTTTTCAAACCGGTTAGATTGATGAGGTGGATCTTGAGCCAATCGAGGCCTTCGGGTCCCAGAGGGCGAGGTTCGGCGAAGATCAACATGGATCTGGCCAGATCGGAGCCGAGGTGGTTCAAATGAGGCGGGACCGGGTAGACTCTACCTCTGAAATCCATGTTGTGCGGCAACCAGAATATATCGTCGCGAAACTGAAACGTTCGATGGTGCTTTATGAAGCGAATTAGTCGATTGTAGGATAGCTTACGTGATTCGCTAGGGACAGTCTGTATAAGCAATCGCACCACAACGAGTACATCTCGGCCTTTTTCCTTCTGTGTTGCATTCTCTGTTTGAATAGTTCGAATCGCTCGGCTTTATCGGTGTCTTGCGTCGGGTGAGGCGGCGGTTTGAGCGAAGAAGCCGGTTCGGGCACGTCCAATTGAGCGGATCCGCCGTTATTGAACACCTATAATCAACATAATATAGAGCTGTAGAGACGATTCCGACTCAAACGAAGTAGTTACCTCTAAAATAACGTCCAGTATTTTAGTGTTAACCTTCCACGGTATCGAAGAAAGCTGATTGAGGGCGTCCAAACTGGGATAGAGTTGCTGCGAGCCGACTTCCTGCAGTCGATTCTTCTGGCTGCTGGCCTGCAGCGGGAGCCTGATGACGTCGCAGGGGGATATGAAGTAGCCGCCGACTTGGGTGGATATCCAGGGCACCGGCGGGCACATCATCGGGACCTCCCAAGCGGGGAAAGTGAGAGTCTCCGGATTGGATTGTTTGTACAGTTTCGATAGGATCGGATGCGGTTTGACCTCTTCTTTGACGATCCTCCCTTGCGTTCGGAAGATGGTGTAGAACGCGGGTAGGTGGTTCTTGTGTTTGGTGTTCCTCAACACGTTTATGTCGACTTTCAAATCGTACATCACGATGTGATATAAGAATTTTCCGATGAACGTGAGAATTGTGGGCACCCATTCTTGATGATCCATTTCGATGGACGCCTCTCGGTCTTTTAAATTGTATTCGATGTTTTGCCATACTTGCCTGGAGTTAAAAACGACTTCTTCTTCCGGCAAAACGTCCAAGGATTTGTGGGAATTGGCGTAGTGAGTGCAGTAAATTTGGTGGATATCGGTAATTTTATTCAACACTCCGGATTTTTGCTTGCGAAGTATTTTATACCTAGCGTAAACTTTACTGCCCAAATCTTTGTAGAGCATATTAACGGTGGGACTGTAAGTTTCCGATCCGTGAGCGATTTTCTTGGCTTCCTCCACTATTATCGAAACGCAATCTTTCGCCGGTATCGACCTTATGTAGGGCTCCATGCTGATGGCGCTTCGTTGGGCCGATAACGTGGCCAAATCCCTGTTGAAAGCCTTAAGGGCTTCGGTCTCCCAAGTTTTGTATAGTTCTTCTAAAGATTTGCGGTTCCTCAGCACCTCTTCCGTCACGTTATTTTTCGAATCTATACTGGTAATCTAAAAATTTATATTAAAAATAAGAAATGTTCGGAATCGGGTAGCTGAAACTTACAGTTATGTGACCGTCCTTTTCCAATTCGATTTGCTTTTCTACTAGTTTCTTCAGCTGCTGGGAATCGAACAAACCGGTACTCTCCGTTGTATTTGCCGTAAATTCTTTTTCCTGGTCGGGATGATTCAGATGATTAATTAATCTATTGTCATAAAACACTATAGGTCTTCTATAATTCGGTGTATAGCTCGGATCGACCTTCCTCATGGCGGATAAAACGAGTTCCCGGTCATTGTTGAGGAACTTCCCATCGTTCATGATATCGTCAAATGTAATATTCTGAGCCAACGCTTTTTTCGTATACTTCACGAGCTCGTCTTCGTTTTCGTTGGTCACAGCCAGGCATTCGAATATCGCCACGTACGTTTGCACGGTGCACTCGACTCCCTCCTCCTGCATGATATCCAGTATCTCCTTGACTTTGTACAAGGAGCCCTTTTGCGCGAAGCCCTTCAACAGGGCGTTGTAAACGTTGATGCTTCTTACGGGAATGTACATTTTGTTGTTCAATCGCTTCGTTTTGTATCTGTGGAAATTCAGAGCGGACAGGCCGCGTTGGGGGTTCCTCAAATGCGCGCAAACTTCGACGTAAGCGGCCAAGGTTTTCGTGATGATTTCCTCTCGTCGTTTGTGATCTAAATCGGGTTTGAGGGGCTTGGTCGGAGGGTCTTTTACTTCGTCGATTTCCGCTATTTGGTCGTCTACTATCTCCGGTTGTAGAGAGTTTACTATTTTTAGACTGTAAAGAACAAAAAATTATTCTCAGTAAAATTGGCAACACTTCAAGTTTCCAAAAAAATTAAACAATACATAGTAGCATAAGAAACATCTGTTTACCTATCAAATTCATTTTCTTGTTCTACTATTTGCTGCAGATTCTCGTCGAAATGTATTTCTTCGACTGGCAGGGTGTACGATTCGCTAACGTTCTGCATTTCGGACACGACATTCATATCGGGCACTTCTATACTCACGACTCTGCTTTGATCATTGCTCGTGCTAGCTTCAAGTGTATTATCACTAGATGAAGGAAAGCTGTCGATTACATTTAAATTATAGTAAGTGTGCTCGCCGAGGATAGCGTTGTTGTTGCTTAGTTCTTTCAATTTGTGGAGCTCGCTGAGGTTCAAATTGGTGGTAGCGAGCAATTCCAAATCGTTGAAACTGAGTTTTTTCACGTTGGCTCTCCGTTGGTGCGACGAGTTTTCTGTTACTATAAGTTATTCAAGCGTTAATTTTGCGTAATTTGAGAGGAATTTACCAACTTACCGATGAGCAATTCCGCATAGTCCTTTTTCTTCCTCTTGTACTTTTTGGGTTTTAAACTGGGGTTAACGATAGTCGAATTCTGTCTAAATGAACCTGATAATTCAAATAATCGTAAAATTAGCAAACGTAAAACCGCTAAAGTGTGTCAAATAGCTTACCTATTGATGAACTGTTGCGTTTACATAAGAGGCAGGAATTGGCCGTAAAATTAAGTAAACTAAATGATTCTCGGGAATATTTACTTAAAGGTAGTACCTGTATTTTTAACAAACGGTGCATCCTATTGAATGTTTAGTATCCTATTGTTAGGCAGTAAATTTATTAAAATATCACGAGGCTCTATTTGGGACTACCTAACCAAACATTTGAGAGCCATGTTTAAAAAATTTAAAAATAAAATAATAACTAAAAAGAAGAATATTCTAGAATACGTCTGTCTGAGCCTTTGTCTATTTTTTTATACAGTCCCTATTTTTGAACTAATAGTTAATTTCTAATTTTTACAAAAAAGAAGAACCATAAAAGTGACACTTGACATTTATGACATTTAGGTCGCAATATACATTTTATTTTATTGCTTTATTTGTATTTTAAATTAAACTAAATTAGTAAGTATTTGCATTTTCATCACTTTGTTATCTGCAATTTTAATATTTCCTGTTCCAGAAACGGCCTTTGCAATGGACGCCCCGAAAACGTCCGATATTATCCTGATATCAGGCAACTCGCATCCAGAACTGGCTAATTTGATAAATAAAAGATTGGGAGTAAAATCGGGCGGGTGTGCGGTGTTCCACAAATCAAATAGAGAAACGATGGTGCAAATTAACGATTCGATTAGAGGAAAGGACGTTTACATCATACAAACCGGTGCAAAGTAAGTCGGGTGTTAGGTTAAAAAAAATGTGCATAATCGAAACTGATTTTCCAGAGACGTAAACAACAACATCATGGAATTGCTGATAATGGCCTACGCCTGTAAAACATCCTCGGCTAAATCGATTGTTGGCGTCATACCGTACCTTCCTTACAGCAAACAATGCAAAATGCGCAAAAGGGGCAGCATCGTTACGAAACTATTAGCACAGATGATGTGCAAATCCGGATTGACCCACATCATAACAATGGATTTGCACCAGAAGGAAATTCAGGGATTTTTCGACTGTCCCGTCGACAATTTAAGAGCCAGCCCGTTTCTATTGCAGTACATCCAAGAAAGTGTACGTATTTTCAAATAATCAAGACACTAAATAAATTAAGTTGTCATATCAGATTCCAGATTATCGTAATTCGGTGATAGTGGCCAGAAACCCGGCTGCTACAGCAAAGGCCACGTCCTACGCGGAACGTCTGAGGCTAGGAATAGCCGTTATTCACGGGGAACAAAAGGAATCAGATACCGATGAAGTGGACGGAAGGTATTCACCTCCGACGGTTCCTCGGTCGCGTACTATGGACGCCGGTGTGGGTGTTCCCGTTCACATCGCAAAGGAAAAACCCCCCATCAACGTTGTGGGAGATGTAGGAGGCAGGATAGCCATCATGGTGGTGAGTTTAAAACGAATTTTATTAGGACAACAGATTACTATATTAAATGTCTTTCAGGATGATTTGATAGATGATGTACAATCGTTTGTTGCCGCTGCTGAGGTGTTAAAAGAACGCGGTGCTTATAAAATCTATGTTATGGCTACGCACGGTCTGTTATCTTCTGATGCACCTCGGTTGATTGAAGATTCACCTATAGATGAGGTGAGTAGATATAAGGCAATAAAGGATTCAATTAATGATGTATTATGTTTTGTAGGTTGTAGTTACAAATACCATTCCACACGAGCTTCAAAAAATGCAGTGTCACAAGATAAAAACCGTCGATATTTCAATTTTACTCTCAGAAGCCATCAGAAGAATTCACAATAAGGAGTCGATGTCTTATCTCTTTAAGAATGTTACCTTAGAAGACTAAAAAGTATTTCTTTATTATTATTTTTAAACTCGATGTTCCGTTTATTATAGTGATAAAGTTTTTAGAGTATTATCGTCCGAGTTAAGAATTATTTTATACCATGTAGGTCGCAAAAATTGTTTACGTTGTTGTTTTATTTTACCGATGTTTGCGTACGCGGCGTATTATAAGGAAATGAATCTATTTTGATTTTTTGAATAGTTAATATACCACTATTTCCGAATAATACACCCGTTTATTTTACCGCATACATATCCGCTGTATTGCGGATGTTATTTTTAAGATGGACCATTTTGTTGAACATGAGCTTAACATTTATTTACGTTTCATTTGTTTACCTCTGTTTATTAAAAATATTAAATAGATTGCTACATTGTAATGTTAATATCGTTGGTATTTGGGCACAAACCGGAATCCGAAAGGTCCGAAACGATGCCGGCCTCTTTCACTAACAGCAGATCGTATTGCCCGTTCTTCGTCGTTGATTCGGGCCCTTTTAGCGCGTGCTCTTTTATGAATTTCACTACCAAGTCTCCGGCCACTCGGGACATTTCCAATCGATGTCCCCAAGTTACTAACGCTAAAGGCTAAAAAACACGTTTTCGATTAACAAGTACGAATGACTTGTAGCATTAACGAACCCTTTTGCGATCCAACAAATTGTACGGGGTGATGACGTGCTTGTATAAACAGTTTCTCACGATGCTCTTAAGCAAATTGACTTCGTTCTTTTCGGCGCAAGGATGGTACAGCACCACAACGGCCCCGTGCTCTAAGCTGTGCAGCCACCTTTGCTTCGGGACGAATTTGTATTCGCCGTATACAGGCCACAAAGGCCGGTGTTTGCCGCTAAAATAACAAAGTGTAAAATTATAGAGTAAATTATGGTGGAATATAAGCTTACAACGTTGGTATAATTTGACTGTATTCGATGGACTCGTTCATACAAGCATGCGGTGCCTGAACAGTGGAAAATATTTAGAATTGTTTCATTGAATAATGTTTGTAAGTACTTACATTGTAATAAAGTGGTATTCGTTCGATGGTATGCAAAGGATGAACATAACTATTCGGCAGATAAAGTTTCCGATTGTCTAAACAGGTATAATTATCCGGAGCCAGGAACCAATCGACAGTTAAATTACTCTAAAATACAACCCGTAATGATGAGTAACGTTGTAATATCGTAAATACATACTCTAGCATCGTCGCAGATCGAATCGCTAATGCCCATTTTAACGCCGTGTTTCGTGTCTCCCAAGTCGTGATGTTTCTTGACAACGATTTGATTGGTGTCTTCGGCATCGGGAAAATTGGGAAACCATTTACCGTTCCAAGCAGCCGTCGTACTGGCCGAATCTAACGAGAAAATACAATAAATTATGTAAATGTAATTAGTGTTTACAATTCACTTACCGGAATCGGCCAGCAAAGTCAGGCAGAAGAGGAATATATTTCGCAACATCAGCACTAAAGGGGCGATTAATATCACTAATAATACTAAACGGGTAACTGAAAAATACTTAATTATCTTCTTGAGAGACCGCAAAGTGATTCATCTACATAATATACAGTTAGTTCGAAACAAAAATGTTTTTGAATGAAAATATTATTACATTTCTGATTGTCAATGTCAATTATGACATCTACTTCTTTTTTGTTAAATAAGTTTTGTGCTGGATGGCTAAGTACTGGAGGCTATAAACTAAAAAGAAGAGGAATTTTATAAAATAACACGAGTTCTCTTGGTAAAAACGTAACATTTCGTTTTGATTTGCGCTTTTAGGATAAGTGTAATTATTTCCTAAAACAAATGTTATTGTTATTACAACCACCTAAATCCTATGATCCTCTGTAGTTTTTCTGCTGTTGTAAGGTCATTGCTCCTGCGAGAGGTCACCAATAATTATCAACCTTAGGAGTTCTAATGCTCTTGTTGTATCTAGATTTTTAGGTTCTAGAAACATTCTTCCCCAGGTTTTGGAGAAGACCACATACTATTATTTATGCTGTCCTCTCCAGCCTCCTAGCATAGACTCCGCATGTTTTCCGCATGTATTTGCTTCTGTTGCCATTTGTTCCTGTGCCCTCGTAACATCGAGTCAACCACGACGCCCCCCCGTACTATAATCTAGCCATAGCTAACGATCGGCCTAGTACAAGAGCAGCCGCGTCGACGCATTTTCACTCCGGTCGACGGAGCAACCGGCAACGTCCGGTGAAAGTCTTTCACCGATTCGGTCTTTCGCTGGCCGGATTTCCACTCGACCGTTCTCTCATTTCGTATTCAGTATTCGCTGGGAATTCGCGAGCGCTAGGGCTCGTCGCGATCCGTTTCTTCGGCGTTTCTTCGGGCGGTTTTTGTTTTCTTTTTTCCCGAGCCGGATAATCTTGCCCGGAGTTTCTCGGCGAGCGGCCGACGCGCAGAAAACTCCGCCGAGATCGGAGATAAGCGAGAGCAGAAACGGTGAATATGAGTGGCGGAGTTGCGGGGGGCATCGCGTACGAAGAGTGCACGGGCGACGGCGAGAGGATTCTGAATCCGTTCGTTCATCGGCTGGAATTGGAGACTACCTATGAGAAAATTAAAGTAGGTTTTTGTCGGGTTTCTGCGGGCGAATCGATGGTCTCGATTTGCATATAAGCGGGATTTTGGATTATTTTCCCGTATTTCTAGGTATTCGTGGTCGCACGAAATCGTATACATATCTATAAATATTCATATTCCTCTGATACCTATAAGTTGTTTGAATTTAATATACAAAAATGTATGAGATTAGTAAACAGGATAATAAATTCACCCAATCCGAATTTTATGAATATATTCAACTAATATAAGTGTAATTTAATTGGAGTTGTATTGAAAAAAATGCCCGTTTAATACACTCTTTAATACCAAGCGCTAATTAAAAGTAATTAATTAAATGCACGGAATTCCTTCGAGACATTTTATTACCAATATTTATACATCCTTTCTAATTTTTTTGGTCATACAAATTGGCTCGGCAATTTAATTATTCCTAAAGAAAAACTCAATTAGATATTAGGTAATTAGAACTTGCTCTTTATTTTCTCTCAAGAATCACTTAGATTTAAGCTATAAATATCATTTCGTGGAGAAAAGTTTGATTCTAAACTTCATCCGAAAGTTCTCCAGACTTATTTAACTAGTACTTGTAATAACTCTTTTTATTCCCCAAACAACTTCTCGTAGAAACCTAATTTTTATAGCATTTAATAGAGAAAACTTTATTCCCCAATTTACCGTTAACTATAATTAAGAATTTTCATGGAATTAATTGTAGTAAATAATTCATGAAATGTATCTAGGAATCTAGGATTGCATAAACCAATACTTCTATTTAAAAGTCTCTCAAATTAAAACGATACAAACGTACGACATAGACATGTTTACTTTCACTCTACGAGAAAGTTCTACGAATTTTTTATTTATGCCTAAGTCAAACACATTTCAACCATCTCGGTTTAATTACCTCGCTTAATTTGAAATCGGGCAACGATTCTACTTAACGAAATTTCTTCCATCGCCTCCGAAGGTTACCGGAGAACATAAATAATTCACCTACTTTAAATCACAAAAGACCATTAAGCAACAATTCAATCGCCTTGTAACATTCCGTTTTTTCCAAAAAGACAGCCATCTTGACCGTCGTCCTGCTGCCCATCAGGGTATCGGTGATTTGCTTCTTCGTCTGCGTCGGCTGGCTGTTCGCCTTCGTCGGTCTCTGGGGCCTCACCGAGGAGGAACTGCGACAGAAGCCTTTGGACGGATGGAGAAAGTCTGTATTCATTACCCTATTTTAATTTTAACATTCTATTGTACTCGGCACACACACTTTATATTCTCTCTCTCTCTTTTCTTAACTATGAGTACTACGCAGGGTGGTGGTGGACCTGGAGGCCTTTGAAGATGATGTTATGCAACCTAAAAATCGTTTATGGAAGCCATCTTCAAAGGGCACTAGGTGATAGGTAGATCACTAACGGTAGATCTAAAGACTCTATACGTGCAATACTCGTTTTATTAGGGCTTTTAAGGGGCACTACAGAGTCTTCATGGGTCGAAAAAGTGTCCCGTTATTTGAGGATAAAACGGGGTTCCTAAAACGGCCGCTAGGAGGCGATGTTGTAAAGGACCACGGTTTTTTGCGTACGAATTATGTAGAATTAGCATTTAGGTTTTATTTAAACTAAAAATAGATACAAAATATAAAAATATACTTAAATCAGCGATGATTTCGTTGTTAACATCATGCCTCACGTATCTTCGGTAAATGTATTTCTCCATTTTTGCCTCGAAATGTCAAAAAATAATTTTTGAAGTTTTGACAGCTCGAACTGTCGTTTCACACAACCGCGATTTATATGTAGCGCGACGCTGATTGGCCGAGATCAGTCGGTCCTTCGATCTTTCGCCACAGTGCGGCGCAAGTGAAGCCCAAAAACTCTTCAAACAACGGGACACATTCTCTAGGATCGTGATGAAGACTCTGTAGACTAGTTTAGGTAGTTAATTTCGAGCTTTAAAAAATCGGGAATGCGCCAAAATGTGATATCTGTTGATTCGACAGCGTGGTGCGGCGTTCGTGCGCCGTGCTGATGCGCAGCCTCTTCGTGACGGCCGGCTTCCGGCCGACGATAATCGGGCGCCAATCGACGCGGACGCAGGCGCCCGTCGTGGCGCTGGCGCCGCACTCGTCGTTCGCCGACGGCGTCGCCATGGTGTACATGGGAGGGCCGAGCATCGTGGCCAAGGGGGAGATCGCCGCGTTGCCATTCTTCGGCAGTACGTCCCCCTTCTTTTAATCTGTATACAGATAAGTCCAATTTGCACTTATCTGTATACACTGTGTTTCATTCCAGATCGCAAAATGGGTTATATAGGCTATAGGTGCGATAAAGACAACTTCCATTAGACATTTACAAAAGAAAAAAGTGACATTTGTGTCATTGCAACTTGTCACTCTGACAACTGTCAATTTAATAATCTTTCTTTGTTCAACTCATAGAAACGACCATGTTGCGGTCTGATTTGAAGCAATCGGTATACATATGTAGGTAGATGCTATTTCAGAGTATTTGTAGACTTAGAGGAACTTCGTCCAGCATGAAGTAGGGTACATATTTAATGTATGACGGTTTTAGCTTGACTTTAGCGCTTTGCAAGTACTTCTAGATTGAGTAGGTTTGGTAGCTTCTCGTTTCAAATTCCTTCCTTCCTCTTTCCACTGATGTTTTTTTTTATTTTTAATTTTTTTTAGTTTTGTTCTGTTTGTTTTTGTTTGTAGAAAAATAAAGCACCTGATCTGCATCGTGGGCAAGAACGTGCTGTCCGCGGGCGGTATGACCGTGAAGATAAAGGGCAGGCAGGCGCGCAAAAGCGAGGCCCCCATATTGGTGTGCGCCCCCCATTCGACCTTTATCGACGGGGGCATCGTTTACCTGACGGGCTTCCCTTCGACCATATGCAGGCGGGAGAGCGCCGGCAATAATCACATCGGAAGTACGATTCGATTTTTATTTCATAGGTGGTGGATGCGTTTCGATTCTTTCACTTTCCTCTCTCCCAATTCGAGTAAAGCACGCTCTTTTTAACTCTTGCACCGGTTAATTTCTCGTTCTATTTTCATCGTACTGTTGCAGAGCTGATCAATTTCACGCAGCCGGTGTACGTGTGGCGGGACGATCCGGATTCGAGGCAGAACACCATCAGGGAGATCGTCGAGAGGGCCAAGTCCGATATGGATTGGCCGCAGATTCTCATCTTTCCCGAGGGCACGTGCACCAACAGGTCCTGCCTGATCACTTTCAAGCCAGGTTAGAGGCGGTTCGAGCGTGAATTTCTGTTACTTTAGGGCTTTCCGTTTCAGGTGCTTTTTATCCAGGCGTTCCCATTCAACCGGTTTGCATTCGATACCCCAATAAAGTGGACACGGTGACGTGGACTTGGGACGGACCGAGCGTGTAAGGATGTTTCGTTTTTTTCCAGTAATTTTTTGTTTTTTGATACAAGTAGTTCATTAATTTCGAATGTAGATATGTCTTATTGTGATACACATTGTGAATTAATTAATAGGCGCATTCGTTGGGAATTTAATGACCAATTATTCGACAAGTTTAATAGCTTGTAAAGAATTTTTAAAAAGCTCCAATTTTATAATGATGTTCCTAGCTTATAGGAATTCCCAAATTGGCCAAGGAACTGTATCGATTCGCTTATCGAGATTCGTATAACTTTAATGCTACAAAATACTAATTTGCAACGAAATACAGGGATTAATCGTTCGGTTTTCAGTTGGAAATTGCTGTGGTTGACTCTCACGCAGCCCTACAGCAACTGCGAGATAGAATTTCTGCCCGTCTACACGCCGAGCGACGAGGAAAAAAAGGACCCGAAGCTGTTCGCGAAAAACGTCAGGGCCGTCATGGCTAAGTAAGCCCCACGCGCTTCTACCCCCTCATCGATTTTATCAGGCGATTTCTTGGAAATTTTCAGAGCTCTGGGCGTCCCGGTGACGGATTATTGCTACGACGACTGCCTCATGATGGCGAAGGCCAAGCAAATGAACCTTCCGCACGCCGCTTCGCTGGTGGAAGTCAACAAATTGAGGCTCAAACTGGGGTGCGTACGCCCGCAAAGGTCGCGAGAATCGTTTAATAACTCGTTTTTCCAGCATGACGGGCTCGAAAACCGAGGAGGCGCTGATCGAAGCCAAATCGCCGAACGACTACACGCGCGGTATGGATTTCCCCGAATTCGCCCGAACTGTCGGCGTCCCGACGGATAACTGGGCGTCGCGACAACTATTCCGCACCTTCGATAAAGTAAGCTCACTTCTCACGCCTCCTGACACATTCACATGCGCTGTTTTACAGCAAAACTTCGGCACGATAGACTTCAGGGAGTACCTCCTGGGGGTTGTAGGAATCGAGAAGGACCGGACTCCTCTAGACGTGTTACGAGTCGCTTGCAAGGTATACTGGGAATAATAGTGTATTGTCCAAAAGTTTAATCGAAAGTAATAACTTGTAGATATACGACGGGAGCGGCTTCGGGCGTTTGTCCGCCGAGGAGTTCGCCAAGGCGTCGTGCCAGACGCTGGCGTTGAGCAGAGAGCACGCGCTGGAGGTGTTCGAGCAGGTCGATAAGAACCGATTGGGGTACGTGACGTACGATTCGTTCGTGGAGTACGCCCGGAGGAAGGCGGAATTCGCCGGTCACTTCGGCTTCGAGGAGAAGCCGGCGGCTCGCAACGGCAAGAAGGCCGACTGATCGGAGGTGGCTTAGTAGAGGATAATATTCGTTGGATCATCTGGCTTGGAAGTACCGGAAAGAGCAAGGAAAGTTTGACCTACTTGGTGATTATACCTGTTAAAATCGAAATAACCGGTTGGTCAAATTCCAAACGTTAGATTCACCCTTTACTCGTTTTCGTTTGGGTCGTTAATTATTGACGTTGACTCGTACAAATGTACCGGGATCGTTCGGTTATTAATGACACGTTCGCCAGTTGATTTCAATTTGTTTTAGTGTAGAATTCGATTTGGTTTAAGAATTTTAAAGACACTTTCATTATTTATTGCACCTACCAAGTACTCTCGAGTACTTGCGGCGTCCGGTAATTAAAAACGATTCTTGTATATATATAAAATTGACCACTTAGAAGTAATTATCAAGGATTTGTTTGTGACTTTAATTGCGGCAAACGCTTCTTATGAATAATAGAGGTATTCTCGTACATACAATTTTATTATCGTGTTTTCTGTAAAATAAGGATTCACTTACCTTATACAGGGCGTCTCAAAATTATCGCATATCCTTAAATCGAATATATCAACGTATAGAACGGATGTAAATTTTGGGACATACTGTATGTGTAGGTTAAAAAGTTACTTTGTTGTTTTTGTTGTTATTTAAATGTGTATATAAACGCGTTATTTATTCGCTATTGGATTATTTGAAATGTCGCGTACGTTTTGAATGTGTAAATAAAGTTGGGTGGTATTATAAGGAGATGGAGAAATATTTTTCGTGGTGTTTCGAAGTGTGTTATGAGTGTAATTTTTACTTCAATAAAAAACAAATACTCTATGCAAGTATGTTTTATTTTTTCATGTGTTCCTTAAGATTTAATAATGTAAGTTTACAAGAAAATATCAGTTAATGTTATTACAAAATTATATTTAAATCACTCTCAGCTGCCTGATTAAGTTACAAATACCAGAATAAAATACTATGAAGAATTTTCGTTAAAATATATCTACATACAATATATACAAATATAAGAGTAATCAAAAGAAGGATAAATTTTAAGTAATATTTTTATAGGAATGATTTTTTAAATACTATATGAAATGTGAGTTGAAAGTATATACAGTGCTCGTTAATAAAATAAATTACATTTACATAAAAAATAACATTTTTTAAGTGTTTTTGTTATCTACTTCTTAAGACTACAAATATTGAAATTATAAAAAATTAGAAATAACCCATATAAAAAAACCAAAGAAAATAATATCTATTGCCATATTCTTCGTTAAATGATAAGTATAATTGTACATAGTAGATATATTTAATTAAAAAAACAAAACATTTTTAGCTGCTTAATATCCATCACGAAAACTCCGAAAACTGGTAACTTCTCAGTAAAATCTTTTTAAACTAATTTTTAATATAATATCCGACTTACTTCATAAAATACAGTCTCAACAAATGTATATAATAGTCAATAAATACCGTAAAAATTACAAACCTTTTCAAAAATTAGATAAATAAATGCATAAATTGGAATTTTAAGGCATCAATTAATTCGTATCTTTTTCTCGGAATGTACTCAATAATATTAGGATTGTTACAATTTACTCAATACAAATCACCTGTAGTCAAAAAAAATAATACTTGATTAATATTGGAAGACAAACTTCAATTCAATTAACATCATTTTTCAATCGAAGTTTCTATTTTATTATCATTCTCCGATGTAATCTTCTTTCTCGGCTTACTTTGAGTAGCGCCGCCAATAACTTCCATCCACCTTAAAATATCACATCGTATTAATTAAAGTATTAAAGAATCATAGTAGAGGGTAAACGAATAGATAGGGTAGAGTAGGTAAACTGGGTCCTGCCTACCCTGTGACAGGTTAAACAAGCGAATAATTACAGCGTCGCCACGTTTAAAACAACAACTCAGCATTTACTATTCAGCAGAGTCTTTAGTACTTACCTATTGTACGTATAATCGGATTCCGCCCTGAAGAAATACACGTGGTTCTTATACTGCAACTTGAACACGAACTCCTTGCCGATGCGATCTTCGGGCTGCGGCGGCCCCACCGAGTACCCCAACAGCGGCAACGAAGCCAACGGAAATTCGTCCAAACATCCCTTGTAGAAGAACAAGCAAAACGACGTGAACACCACCCAAAGCTTCTGCCAACCGTTGCTGCTTTTGAACTTCCTCAACAGATAACCCGACAATTGACTCTACAACCAAATATATTCACGATTAATAATAGTTTGTAGGTATGTAGTGATGCGAGAAATAAATGTATGTAGAGTGTAGAGAGTCGAAAATAGAGTGTAAAGAGTCGAGTATAGAGAATAATATAGAGAGCTTGTGTGAGGAGTGTGGAGAGTAGAGAATAGAGTGTAGAGAGTCAAGTGTAGAGAGCAGAGTGTAGATTACCTCGACGGCCAGAAGTTCGTCTTTCATGCTGACGCTGGTGCTTCTGTGCCAGCAAACGTGCACGGTGGTGTTGCTCCTTTGCACCTGCGGCTTGGTCTGCGTCCCAACGTCGTTGTTGCCGGTCTGATCGAGTTGTTCGTCCGAGGAACCTTCGAAAACGACACGAATACAATTACGGATAAGATAACGTACGAATCGATCGCTTACTGCAACTTTTCAAACTCAAATAGGTGATTTTCGTGTCGGATTTGTCGCGCGCCAATCGAATGGCGTCGAGCAAATCGCTCTTCCAGCGCTCCTTCTCGTCGGCGCTGTTCGCCGCCACCGTCAGCGCCCTGTTGCCCCCGTACACGATCAATCCGTTGAACGACACGTCGCCTTCGGGCTCCTCGATCAGCACGCCCCTCAACGGCATGTGGCCGTGCACTTTGAACTGCAACGTCGCCTGCGATCGCGACGCGTACAACAATATATCCGAAAACTACAACGAAATAATACAAACGTTACGTTCTATGTAATTCTACATAACGATGTAGGCAATACCAAAAAGAACATCCTCTGTTGGTAGCCCTTCCGCGAATGCTTCAACAAACACCCGTGCCGGACGAACCGCCTGCCGGGCTGCACCAGATTCTCGAACCCGACCAGGTCGCGTTGCAGCTCGCACAACGCCACCAGGTTCATCGATTGCTCGAGCGTCTCGACGACGGGCGCCGACAGATCCTTGAGCGCGTCGCCGGCCGTCATGCAATCGGCGCGGTCCGGATGATCGGGCCCGTAGTGGTCGAGCAGCCGGCGCAGCAGCGCGCGGTACTGCAACAGCCGCTGCAGCGGCTTCAGGACGAACGCCGTCAGCGGCAGGTAGCACGCCTTGCGCGCCTCGAAGTCGCGGTAGAGCGACTCGAAGCGCCCGTTGTGCTTGAAGGCGGCGTCGAGCCGCTCGAGCACCAGCACGTGCCCGTCCAGATACTCTTCGTAGATCTGCGGAACGAAACAACGAATGTAATTAATCGTATAGGAAGATGTTGCGATGGTTTTACCGGTAGAAGCGGCGGTAGATGCACCAGTAGAACGTCGGCGATGCGACCGGTAGTGGCTCTAGGACCGCCTTTGGTGTCCCAACCGTGCAACCGTTGTTCCAAATCCTTCACCAGCAAACCGTGGGCTTGTGCTAAAGGCGCTATCAACGACAGCAGTATTTGACATTCCTCCGGCTCTTCTTTACCCACTTCCTCTCGAAACCACTACGAAATCAACCACGTTAATCCCTTTATCAATTACAAAACACACTTAATACATACAACGTTTATAACATCTAAATCTTTCTTGTAGGTCAACTCGGTCATGAGTATCTCCTTGGCTATGTAGTAGGTCTTGTCGACGAGGTACTTGGGTCTCTTACGGGCGTTTTCGCCTTCGATTTCGGCTATGATGGTGGTCGTGTTGCCGTTGACTAAGGTGTTGGCGTTGATGCTGTTCATCAGCTGCTCCTTGGCGAGGACCTTCGACGGGCTGTCTTCGCTGTTGATGGTGCTGTAATAGTTTTCTGCAACGGAAAATGGTGAGGAACAAGCGCGATGGATCGATCGATGTGTCGTTTGTACCTTTGGATGGGGTGGTGGATACGTCGGATACGCTTCCATTGGCGGTTCTCACGGGCGTGGAAGTGTAGAAGTTGTTGTTGTCGCTGATGTTGCTGTATTCGACGTTGTTCTGTTGTTGTTGTTTGTTGTTATCTGTAGAAGGATTGAAATGTGTCGGTGATTGCAAATAACCAAGAACAATGCGTCGAATTAACACATTGATCTTCACTAATTGCATAATTAATAAAAGGAAATAAAACAACGAAAGGATATAAATATCGTATGGTAATCGAGCTCACCTCAAATCCTAGCAAGCATTGTTTGTGAGAAAAATGTTAGTGTTTTTGGAAAGAACGAACGAGGAATTTGACGAATTCAATGATTTATTTTCAGGTAAAATTCTTTACATAAATAACACCAAACGAAATGAATATAATCTAAACAGAGTTCATTGGAAATGCATCGTTTATACGTCGATAAATGATTGTACACAGCTTAACAGTGGTTCGAAAAAAATTCGGTTGATTCATCGGGAAATTAACTAATTGAGCATCACAAAATTAACGAAACGTTTTGAACGACTTCGAATGGAAACGATTCTGAACAGTCGCAAAACAAAGTAAATTTCTAAACAAAATTTACAATCGAGGCGTTTCAGAATCGCCTCCAATAATTTCAATATTACACTATAACCTAATCCTAATCAACTATATTATTATATAAATATCAACAATATTATTTATATTCGTAAGATTCGAAACTAATTACAAAACTCAATATTCGAATATTGACTAATTCACTTAATTTTTAACGTATTATTAGTGTGTCATTATTTATTATTATTATTCAATTACATCACCGTTTATTTTCGCGTATTCTTAACTAAACTAACGAGAATTTTATCGACACGAATACGCTTTATGTCGTTACAGAACCGATTAGGCCTTTTATTTTAACGTCTTTCGAGCTTTAAAAAATAAATCACATTTAAAATAATTCTTGTTTAATAATTGATATACCATAAAAAATATATGTAACAAACAACTTTTGTACTTTAAAGGTGTTACGGAAATAAAAACGATTTCCTGACTTTTAGAAATTAGACCGTTTGATTTTGTAATTGACAAATAAATTAATAGGGTGGTTTAGAATTTTAAATGCGTAAAATTATAACCCCCGGAAAAATCACCCTCACCCTAACTCGATTTAGTTTCGTTTCGTACACCGAATTCTGGTAAATTGAACAATAACATTTTAACCTCACGTTTGATCTTTGCTAAACGTTTTCAAAACATTTATTTACAATTTTTTTATTCATTTTTTTATCAGTCTTCGGGCATGTATTACTCTATTAAAGCGAGTTAATTTGGAAATAAACGCGCGGATTCGATTCGAAAAATTAATCCAAAAATGAGATAAACATCCATCGAATCTGCGCGTCTTCGATTAAATGCGTTTTTTTTGGTGCATAAAGAAGACAGAAATATGTTAAAAAGTATTAACTACTCCTACAAACAGACCGATCTCAAAACGCTCCATTTTAGTTTTAAATATTTTTAATTTATTAGCACTCGTTTACGATTTGTTTTTGATTAAGCGTTTCAATTTTTTTTTTAATTTTCCCGCGACAACCTCCCTTATAAATTCGAAAAAGTTGCATAACGTGCTAAACATTTAAAAATAAGTGCGAAATACATTTACGTTTTAAGAAACGATAGACGAATCAGTTTGTTACATTTTTTATATCGTGGAAGTAAAATCGATTTGGCAAGCAAAGGAAGACAAACGAGCGTTTAAATTAGATTATGAGATTACTTGTCTTACGATTGAAAATAATTATTTTCTATGCCGGCTTTTTTTAAAAGCTTCCCCAATCAACGAGGAATCGATATAAAAATACAAAATTTCGCTCTAAAAAATATCACAAAAGGAAGAGAGTAGAATTTTCGGTTTTCTCTCGCTTTGGCACAAAATTACAAAACTGATTCGTCGATTAGATGTATCGAAAGGAACACATATCTTACAAATATATTGAGCTAAACATCTGCACGTAATTATTACACGTTATTTCATAGCCTAAATTACTGCTCATTAATCAGTCAAGGTAGCTGAGATAAAACAGGAGAGGGGTTCAATATATCATATAGGATGTTTAAGACACGTATCTAGAGGTGTTTAATTCCCATAAATAAATCTTTTTTCAAAATTCCAACACCTCCAGAAGTCGCATGTCGAGACTAGACTAGATATCACTGATGGCGAAAAAACATTTAAGAAACCGTTGAATATTGTAATAAAAAAAATGTTATTTCAAGTTCCTTTTCCTACAAACTACCATCCACTTTATACATCAAGAGGTATTTCATTAAATTTGTCTCATATACACCGCAATTTATCACAAATACCGTCGATTTGCCGCCCTACAAAATTCACATTAAATTCGACTGATCAAACAACAAATACGAGATCCGTTCGGTAATTCGCTACACCCCGTCGAACCGACTCGGAATCAAACGCGCCCCTGCAAATCCCCCTCGAAATCGTCCTCGAGCAACGGCGGCGGTATGGAAGCCACGTCGAACGCCTCCGCCCCATCGTACCTATCGTCCTCCATCCGCACGATATCCGAACCGCTCTGCGAATCGTCCGGATAATAACCCTCCTCGGCGCCGCCGCCGCCGCCTCCGCGCTCCGCCTCGTCCGCCCGCCGGCCCGCCTTCCGCTGGCGGCGCCGGCAACCGCGCCGGTCGCGCTCCGACCGGCTGCGCGGCGACTCCACGCTGCTCGTCGACTCGTTCTCGCTCGCCGGCCCCCCTTCCACCGCCGCCGCCTGCTGCTGCGGCTTGCGGCGCGTCGGCGGCACGGTGGCCGTGCGGTAGGCGGGCGACGGCGCGCCGCCCGCCGTCGACTCCGAGCTGAGGCTGCTCGAATAGTACGGCGAGCACTTGGACAACTTCAACGGGCGCTCGGTGCTCTTGCTCGACAGGTACGATGGCTGCGTGCGCACGGTGCGCCGCTCCGCCGAGTCCGAGTCCGACGGCGGTTGCATGGCGAGCGCCGACAGCAACACGAGATCTTCGGATGGTATATTTTTCGGGCTCGGCACGCTTTTGGCGTCCGCGGTGAGAGAGAACTCGTCGAGATCGATGCTCGATCCGAGCCGAGCGGGCGCGACTTGCTGGACGAAGAACGGCTTGCCGTCGGAATTCGACCAGTCCGATATGTTCGACAGTCGATCGGTCAGCGTGCTGTCGCCCGTCGAAGCCGACGACAGTTTCTGGAACGCCAAACCGGCGCTTTGTTGCGCCTTCAACGTGCTGCTGGTGTTGCTGGTCGACCATTCGGATATCGAATGGGCGATGTCGGTCAGCGAGTTCTCGTCGCTCTTCAAGCCGGAGCTGCTCTTCGTGCCGCTGTTGCTCGACAAATTCTGGAATTTCACCGTGTTGGTGCTGTTCGACCATTCGGACAGGCTGAGCGCTATCGACGTGTCCTCCGAATGCGAGCTGTGCGTGCATTTGCTCGGCTTGAGGGCGTAGCGAACGGTGCCGTCGTCCAAATTCGTGCCCATCGAGCTGGTGCACTCGTCCTCCTCCTCCGAGTAGGAATCCCTGCGTTCGCTCTGGCTCGAATCGGACGCGACGCTGCGTCGCATCGCCGTCGGCGGTCGCAATTCGCACCGGCCGACGCCGCCCTCCGACGCGTCGACGAACACGTCGTCGTTGAAATTGGCATCGTCTTCGTCGTCCGAATTAGATTTCTTCTCCAACACGATGCGGACGCCGCTCGGACCGACGCTCAGGCTCTCCGACAGGCTTTCGCTGGCGTCGCAGGCGACGTTCTCGTACGTGTGCGTTTTGTCGGTGTCGCCGTCTCTGTTGTCCGAATTGGAATTGGAATCGTCGTCGGGGGCGGCGCTCGCGTCGCCGACGACCACCTTGCACGGCTCCTGCGGCGGCGTGATGTAGTAGGTTTCGACGTTGCCGATCAGCGGCGGTTCGGCGACGACGCTCGACGGCGGGCTGGGCCATTGCTCCGAGTCCTGGCTGCGCAACGAGCCCTTCAAACCGAACGTCTTCGGTATGATCTTGACGGGCGGCTTGAACACCTGCGTGGTCTGCTGCGACGTATCGCTGCTGGGGAACTCGTGCATCGCCAGCAGTTTTTTACCCTGCTGCGGTATCTCCGGCAACGGCCAGTCCTCGCTCTCTTGGCTGCTCGATCGCACGGCTCTGTCGTGACTGATTTCCGGCTCGGAATATTCCTCGTCGATGATGGTATCGTCGGAACCTTGCCGCCTCAATCTCAAACCTCTCTCCGACGTTATGATTTCGATATCGTCCATCGACAGTTCGGCCATTTCCGCCGACGTACGACGATCGTCCGATATCTGGCGTTGCAGCAAACCGGCGATGTGCGGCAGCGGCTCCTGCTTGCTCAAATCGCTCAGTTTGTCGTCCTCCTCGTTCGCCTCGCGGCGGTTCGTCGGCGTTTTCTTCTCGTTCTCCGACAAGCGCGCGTGACTGGCCGACTCCGAGCTGACCGACGCCGGCATCGATTCGCCGTCGAGGCTGTCGCTCTGCGTGCTCGCCTTGGTCGAATCGTCGTCGACGCTCGACTTCTCCGAGTTCGTGCTGCGCTCCGATATGCGCGACAGCGTGCGAGACACGGCGTAGCCGCCGAGGTGCAGCGGATAGGCGAAGCCGGCGTCGGCGAAGCCGGCCAGGTCGTCGGGCAGGTCGGCGTCGTCGCGCGACGGCGTCGCCGCGTCGCCGCCGTTGCGGCGCAGGAAGTACTCGTCGTCGCGATCGGACGACGGCGGCGCGCCGTCGTCGAAGCTCTCCGAGCCGGAGCTGTCCAACGGGAAGGCCTTCCACGTCGAGCTGAGACCTTTGGGGATGTCGTCGGCGGTGCGCGTCGTGCGACAGGCGGCGCCGACGCTGCCCGAACTCGATTCCGTATCGACGGAGTTCCTCGATTCGGTGGAGAGCCGCTCCGACGAGAGGAACGCCGGTTTGTCCGACGACGATAATCGTTTGGATAGGTTCTTGTGCAATAGCTGGCTGAGTTCCGAATCGTTCGACCACTTCTCCTCGAACGGGTACGGTTTTTTCGCCGCTTCGATCTCCTCTTTGGACGATTCCCGAACGGGC